AACTTCTATTGATTAATTGACATATTGACTACATGTCAGTACTGCCATTTTAACAAAAACTAAAATCGTGCTGACAGTTTATTTTTTTTTTTGCTTTCAATGGTGTTTATTTTTAATGAACATGTTAATTCGGTTTAATTTTGTGATAATTGAGAACACAATGAAAGTCACTTACTAGTTATTATTAGATCAATATAAAAAAAGCTGGACTGAAATAGACATCAAAAAAGGTTGTTTTGCTATTATTTGTGTGATATGATTTAAGCCTTAAGGATTATTTCTTGTCAACAGTGGTTAGTTGCCGTTTACTTGTAATGCTGAAATATACCAGGAACTATTATGTAAAGACTTTGACATTTAGATCGTGATTCCTGGAGAACTACTGTGATCATGTTGTTTTTGACAAGAATTGGAATCTTAACAGCAAATTATTGTCCTTATGCTTTTTGACAGTTTTGTTTCAAAACTCAGTGATTCAAACTCAAATTCATCAGGTCTCAGAATTGAGATGACAATCATTTTCGTTTGCTTCTAGGATTTGGAATTGTCAGCATATTGATAGTTTGACTTCAATTTACAGGAACCATTTTAAAACCATTTTAAAACCATAATATTTATAGACTTGAGAATATCTTTTCGGATGGAAATAGAATATGTTTAAATTCTGTTTTCCTTTTGATTGTGCTTTTTTGTGATGAGTGTTTACAATGTATTTATTGAAATAACAGGTTGAGGAATAGCTGTCCATTTTCTGAAAAAAGACAGACAGTTTAAATTCTGATATAATAAATGTCATATTTGGAATAAAAAAGGTTCAGATGAAAATGGATGAATAAGTGACATGATTATATGTCTTTAACTCTGGAATATTTTTCAATTACCAGTACCTGAATTTGATGCCATTTTATGTCTGGGATAAAATTATTAAATATCTGCTGCACCATGTCTCTCAAAGACTCTATTGGAATATTATCTACATTGCGTGTTTTGCAGCCATTCAGGCTGTGAGGTTGGCGCCAAATTCTTGTAAAAAATATTGGTATTGTTTAAGAATAACTGTCAGACCACAGGCATAGCATTTGGCTCTTATATTTTTTCATTGAATGTGTTGCTGCTATTGAAAGAGTTCAGAATTTATTGACGTTCAATTCACAAGTTAACAAGATGGGGCTTTGGGAATTCCTAACTGGCGTTATTGTAAGTTCTTCTTTCTTTTCTTTTCATCTATGGTGTGTTACTAAAAACCATTTTTGTCTTAATGGAGTTTATCTTGATCTTTAGTGTTTATTTTAATCAAGATAAACCGATAAAGGTAATGTTCGTCTTTTGTAATAGTGTAAAAACCTTTCAGTTGGAAATAAGTTGGGTTTGGCAGAAATTTATAACATTTTGAATCATTTCATTAATTGGGTTTAGAGAAAGCTAGAGGTTATATTCTTTAACTTAATAGTCTTTATTATCTTCAACATTAAAAACATGAAATAGAATTTAATAATGGTATATTTTAATCAATTTTGTTATCTTAATTTGAAATTATTGAAGACACAATGAACTTTTTAAAATCGGTCTGCATTGTCATTTTCTCTAAGCCCTTGGGTTTTATTTGTAATAAGACACCTTGATGAAAGAAGCAAAACCTCAATACGGAATTAAAATGTCAAACCATGTAAATCAGTTTATATAACATGTGCTTTTAGACCCATTTTCGTTTATGTTAGGTTCCAAAGTATAGAGATTTAGCTCCTTTTAACTCATGTACAATTATATATTGGAATACCAAAGATTTTTCTGATTTCTGAATATACATTTTGAATAATTGATTTAATTTTTTTAAAAATTGGCTAGACCTCTGGTATTTTGGTCCAAAATTTTATTGGATTTTTTAAGTCAATTTGTTTTGTGGTACAACAGTCTGTCTTTATTGAGTAATTTAGATCTATATATGAGTAGTACAATTATGCATATAGAACTTCTCCCATCACTGATTGTACTCGCATATAAGATCAACCACAAAGTACAAAAAAATAAAAATGTCAGCTGCATAAACTACTGGTTTTAGGTGTTCTAGAGACAATACACAAGAGCTGTCTCTTGCTAGTATCTGTCACTAGCTTTTGAATAGAAGGTAACTTAGGAATATGGTTCGCAAGTTTCTGGATGCGGATAGTTTACAATGATCAATATCTGTCATCAATGATTGAATCATATTGTAATGTCAAACTCAAAGAACTCTTTTATAAGGATTCAATAGCTACGTTATTTAAGATCTCTCAGAAAAAATAAATCGGTAAAATTTACTAATCAACAAGATGAAAGTGGAAATAGACAGGCTGGCCAATATGTGTCTCTAGTGTTTTGGATTAAAAAAAGCAAACCTATGTTTTAGTCTACCTTTACAGAAATTTAAATCTCTATTTTTTATTCTCTGCTATTTAAATTTTAATAGTTTAAAGTATCTACCATACCCCCCCCCCCCCAAATGTCAATATTTATTAAACCATCGGTCAGTGAGAAGGAAATATGGCCTATTCCTGTCAGTTTTCAATTGTCTACGGACATAGTCCAAACATAGTTTGCCAGGGTTCCCTGTTGTACAAATAATCCTGGTTCTGTGCTTGAAGTATCCACAAAACATGCTGAATGTTTCAATAACCAAAATATATCACTTAATGAAAGGCTAAACCTGTTTCCTTAATTTTTGCGATTCCGATTATTCTTATACAAAAATATAAACAAAAATATATAATCTGTGATGAATTAAGTTCCAATTATATCTGTCAAGGTAATCTTAAAAACAAAAATATGTAATCTGTTATGTGGTTCCGGTCATATCTGTAGGGATAATCTTATATACAAAATATGTAATCTGTTATGCGGTTCTGGTCATATCTGTAGGGATACTCTTATATACAAAATATGTAATCTGTGATACGGTTCCAATTATATCTATAGGGCTAATCTTATGAACAAAATATGTAATCTTTGTTTCGGTTCTGGTTATATCTGAAAGTGGAATATCATCAAAAAAATATGTACTGGCAATCTGTGATGCGGTACTGAGTATCTGTAAGTGTAATGTCTCTAATCTTATCAACAAAATATGTTATCTGTGATGCAGTTCTGATTATATCTGTGGGGGTAATCTTATAAACAAAACTCAGACTGGTAGTTGATCAATAAATCCATTATAAGAAAAACAGAGATTCCCCATTATCTGTTTTATTTGTACATCAATCTATCGTTCACTGCTGATGCAATTTTAGTATAGAATCATTTGTAGAATACTGATTAATCCATAGTCGTATACACACAGACAGAAGAACTCCATACATCTCATCATGTCTTTGAAAATCAATTGTTTTAAACTGTCAAGATGGATCCAGCTAATTAGAACAACATTCTTACTTTGGCTTAATAAATTACGCTTCAGAGTTGTCAAGATTTTGAGATCCAGACAAAATAAGCTTTAAAAAAACCAAAAAATCTGTAACTTTTAAAGACCTTTCTCACACAAAATCAAATTTGACGTGGGAGGTAATGGAATTACTTGTGAAAGGACAGGGATAAACTGGATTGAATTTATCAAACAAAATAATGTTGTTTTAATCCCCTTACCCATATTCCACTTTTATATCAAGTAAAGGAATTTAAACATTTTGGAACCCCAAGCCCCCACCTCCCCTTTTGAAATTCCTGCACTTACTACTGATGGTAAAGGGGGAAAAATTTGTCTGCCACAGATTTAAGACTAAACTACTGCACCATGGTCCAAATTGTTGGTTTTAAAGTGACTCTTGTATATAAACTAAAAATAAAGTTTAACCATGTTTTCTTATCAAGGTAATCAAGTTTAACAAGTTCTCAGTACAAAGCAATCTAAGTTTATTTTAAGATATTTTCTTTGTTTTAAATTACATTTTAAAATGTCTTGCCTGATTGTCTAGTTGGAGCCAAAGATAAATTAGTTAAGATAATTAGAAAAAAAAAAGATTTCTTGTTTTGTCGCCAAGGAAACAGTTTGGTAATTTAAAGAATCACTTAACCTTCTCTGCACCTGATTTTGTCTAATTTTTTGCGTTGTAGACTTGTTGTGCCTAGCTATTGTAAAAATAGAAATAAATGGTCATTGACAAATATTCTAAAATAAGATGTATTTTCTATCTTTTAACCGTTTAAAGATTTGAAATTGTGAAAGGCACAATTATTAAGAGGTAAAGCTGTCTTGGCAAAAGTTTCCCCAGTTGCAGAAATTAAAATAATGTGATGACTTAAAGTGTAGAGTAATTATTGGAAATCGCTGAAAATCAATAGGCTTCTTCGTCTGATGACCTTAAACACTGTGTATAAATTTAAAGTCAATCGGATATTAACTTTAGCCTCTAGGGGGGCGACAAGACTCTAAAAAACCCCACAAAATCTGTTATGGTCAAAATGACAGGCACACGAGGAACTGTGCCTGACAGAGCCTGAATTTCTGCCTGACAATGTCTGTAACTGGTACCTTATTTCAAGCCCCCCCCCCCCACAATTTGTTTTCTTAATTGTTTTGGTATTACAATTAAATTCAACAGCTTGATCACAAAGTCAGTAAAACTGTTTACATGTAATATTTATGTTAACAGAAATCCTTTACTAATAGCATATCGCACTAAATCAACCAGTAACCTAAGAATTTGCTAATGGAATTATGGGAAGGAATCAAAAGATTCTTTTAAAGTAAATCTTTAATTTAATTCGTATAATTGAAGGCTTAGGGTACAAAATGAAGGAAATTAGAGATTTGCTGTTAAATGTCAATGAGTACTTTCTGTACAAATGTAACTTTGAGGTATAGACGTCAGTGGCAGCCTGGATCGAGTTGAATCAATAAAACTAAAGTTATTATATCAACTAATGATGTCCATATTTATAAGCGAAATGTAATTAATACGACCCATGAATCAATAGCAATCATATTTGCCTTTATCGTTACTATTGATTACAAACACCTTTTATTACAGGAGGAACAAAAAGCAAGACTGAAAGCCGAGAAAATACGAATTGCCCTAGAAAAAATCAAAGAAGCCAAAATAAGAAAGGTAATTAAGTTCTTTAATAGATTTAATAAAAGTTGATAATAATTGACAGTTATCATGTGGTAGCATTAATATGGTGTTAATAGAAAGGTTGAAGAAACCCATAAAAAACATTAATTATTATATATTATAAGGTTATTTGCAAGTGTGTGTTTTATATTATAAGATTATTTGTAAGAATGTATTCTATATTTACAGTTATTTGTAAGAAAGGGTTTTATATTTACATTTATTTGTAAGAAAGTGTTTTATATTTACAGTTATTTGTAAGAGTGTGTTTTAATATTAAAGTTATTTATGAGAGAGTGTTTTATATTTAAAGTTAGAGTGTTTTATATTTACAGTTTTATGTAAGAGAGTGTTTTATGTTTAAAGTTATTTGTAACAGAGTTTTTTATATTTCAAGTTATTCTTAAGAGATTGTTTTATATTTCAAGTTATTTTTAAGAGTGTTATATATTTACAGTTATTTGTAAGAAAGTGTTTTATATTTATAGTTATCTCTAAAATTGTGTTTTATATTTATAAATATTTGTAAGAATGTGTTTTATATTTACAGTTATTTGTGCGAGTATTTGCTGAAGATGGAAGTAGTAAAAGTATATTAGTTGATGAGAAGATGACAGTAGGACAAGTGACAGGAGTTTTAGCAGATAAAAATCACATCTGTTTAAACAGTAACCTTGCTGTTATAGAGCACATGCCAGATTTATTTATGGGTAAGATATTGTAACATTAATCAAGTTAACAGTCTTTATCTAAATGGAAGTTTAAAACCCCATTTCTGCTTCATTTGACAGAAGCACACCATCTGAATCCCATATAATTTGAAGAAAAAACTCCCAACATATTAAACTTGCATGAATAGTTTTTTGCTGTTAAATCCATATGCTCTACTTTAAGTAGAAACCATATTTGGTCTAAGGTACATGTAAATTGAAAGTTTGAAATCTTGTTGCTAACATTGAAGGTGCCATTAATCAGGGCTCGATATTAATTTGTATTTTTACGGTTAGTTTAGTGGACTGATGAGACAATCATCAGCCCAAAACATTAATCTAAAATTTAATGTAAGGGTGAAAAGAATCAAAAGGCACATTTAGGTAAACTCCAGTCCATTATTCAAATAAAATCATGGAATTTGTGGACTAATTTATAGAAGAACAGTATCTGTATTGTTGGTTCAATAAAAAACGTTTGTCTCCGAAGACTAAAAGACTAATGCAAATTTAAAACTTTACTAGCTCATTTTTATCCTGTTTGGTTCCTAATAACGTTGCACGAGCAATTTCTAAATTTTCTTTTTTTTTCATCTGGTTGAAACATCATCTGCGAAATCTGCCATCTTGATGTTTGCAATCTCAATCTTGATTCATATTTTTACTGAAAATACAGAAATTCTAGAAATCAGTATTTTATATTTATTTTGATGTACGGCCAACTCAATCCTTGTCTAGAAAATCAATATCATTTCATTTACTACTTAAGCCACGAACTTCTACTAATCTTCCATTAATGAATATTTTCTTTGGCTCTGATGTGGTTAGGAAATATAAAATATGTTGTAATAGGAAACTAGAGATAAAAATGATTAGTATCAAATTTTTAAAACATATTGAGATATAGATGTCAACAGGGAATACACATGACTGATCTAAAAACAACATCAGCCATTAAATCTTCTGTACATTTATTTTTTAAACAAAAGAAATTTATTCCTCAAATATTTTCATTAGATAATTACGCAAGTTTTGATGAATAAAATAAACACAAGTATTTTTAATAGGTTTAGGAGCACATCTTAAATTTGAATTGTCAATAGGTGTGCTTACCCTGTGACATAAATTCAGGAATATTGTTAAATCATTCTGATCATTGAGAAAAGGAACTTTGGTCATGGATGCACAAGGAATCCATGTTGGCTCACCAACCAGGAGGCCCCTGGATGGTGGCCAAGAAAATTCCTGCGGATTTTCCAACCAGGTTTTTCCCTTGTCTGTGGTGCCGAATGAATGGTCTGGCAAGGAACAGGATCTAGTCTTTCAGATGGAACAAAAAACCACTGTCATGTTGTAAATGAACCTTTGACAGTTGGAATCTGACATGTGGATGCCTTTCTTCATTAACTCCATTGGTGCAGAACAGTAGGATGTTATACCCCATTTCACGAGTACTCAGAATGCCCCCTGTAGCCGATAAACCATACCTATAAAAGTATACTTTATAATATCACATCTTGTAAGCCACAATAGTCATATTGTAGTTCATATTAGGAAGTTCATCAACTAAGTTGACAATGGAATTTTATTTCAACAGAGTTCATTTTTTTCTTTGCTTCCTACAAAACGAGGAAAATTGTTTTTCATTATATTAAAATTATTTTGGCACTAAATTGAATTACTGTCATGGTGGAGAACTATATAAATATTTCATAATGATGCTTTTCATGTACCTTAAACCTAATTAAGCATTATATCTGATAAAAATTGCCGTAAGTTATCTTTGATAAAATCTGAAATGCATGGTCTCATTTGATCGATTGACGTAAACATTTTCCTGGCACTAGGATCACTTATTCATCAATAATGATTTTTTGATTATACGCAAAGATGTTTGAGCCTAATGTTGGGGTTTATGCACTGAAATTGAATTTTTGCCTGATGATGAATAGAGACAAAACTTTATGAGTATGATCAAAGCGTTGTTAATTAATGCTTTGTGAAGCATATTTCCAAATTATAATTATATAGAAGTTTGAGAGGACTTTAATTAATCGTCTTGGTATAATTTATTTTATATTCACCTGTTTATACAGACTTACCTTCCAATCAATTTTGATAGCTCAAAATATTTCCCGTTGTTTTGGGCTGTGGATCAATACGATTAAAAAACTGACGATACTTGTGAAACAACTTTTGCCGTACTTAGACGTTTCTAGTGAATGGCCTAATCTTCACAATATATATCTATCACTGTACATGTATACCTTAACAGCCTTTAACAGAATATCTTTATTACATAGATGTTAATCAGTAAAGAAATAACATCAAGTTATTTAAAGATGCATTATGGGAGATTAGATAAAAAGCTGGCAGTTCTCACTATAATAGTTAAAAACTAGATAATGTAAAGAGAATTTGCTGAAAATTTCAGTCAAATTGATCCACTCTGAACCAAGATTTTAGAGATTAAATTTTGGGCCTAGGCTCTCTCATCATTACTAAAGTCGGTACGATAAAAAAACATAGTCTCGATTATCCATTTCATGATTAAATCATGAATGAAAGTTGAGCAGCAAATGGTATCCTAATCCAGAAAATATCGCAGGCTAGCGATGACATCGAGAGTTGATTATGGTCTGGATAAGTTAATTAATGTTTAATTAATAATTTAGATAATATTTCAGGCCTAAAGGAAGACCTGAAATTGGCAGATTTAGCTCTTGCATAATGTATGTTTAATCACACTATCTGTTACATATATTAATGATGTTACTAAAGTCAGCCATTGTTCTATTGACATTAACAAGGTGTTATTAATTTAACCACATGTAGAATTGTAATAATTATTCAGCTTGATATTAGAAGTTGAACAATTGAAAATATAAGAAAATTAGGTTGAGGATTTAGATGTTAAATGACTTAACGTCTCAAAATCATACAGCCAAATAAATGAGTTAATTGTTTGGGCTAAGCCAGATTGGATGGTTAAATGATTTAGAAAATGAACAAATTTATGAAAGAGTGTTGGATTTAAACTTTGAACAATTTATAGTAATAAGACAGTAATGTACATCATGGCTATATAGTCTTATTTAGGTGGATTATGATTTACTATTACACAGGATGCTTGGTGTCTACTCCATATAACCGTTACAGTATTTACATGGGACTACTTTAAAATGGTACTGATAGTTATATCAATAATCAGAAACTTGGTAACCAGTCGTACTATCAAGAGGAAAAGCTTAGTTAGATTTGAATTCGTAATATTATTGAATTACATTAACACTTACATGATGACAAATTATTTGATTAAGAGAAATAACTCCTTTTAATCATCAAATGCTGGATTTAAACTTGATCTGTTATCCTGTATTGTAGCCTAACTGTAAATACCTATAAAGACCTGCTTTGATTTTAAAATGTCCCTTACTTAAAAGTGATTGAATGACAAGAGTTAAATACATTGTGATAGGTTGCAGATGTTCATGTTGTGATAATTATTTGTGAACATTTTGGATTTTGTTATTGATTTCCGTGTAATGTTATGTAACTACTTTGAAGTAGCCTTTATACACAGGACCTGGATATTTATAGCATTCCCAACCCCTAAACACAGCAGTTTCCTTATCAGCCACACAGCTGGTACCAAGACAAATAGAAACTGGGCTTGAAACTCTAGAAAGGTTCTTCTCTGCATATCGCCAGCAAGGCACTGGTAAGAATTCAGGATAAAATAAATATAAAACACAACAAATCTGATGCCAAATGTTGAAATGCAGAGAATAAGATGCTATCATGTGGACCAAGATATTGAAATAATATGTTAAAAGATCATATAAACTCAGTTCATGGAATTAATGAAAATTGCCATAAGCATGGATCAAAAAAATGACAGCAAGTTCATTTGGAATTAAAAAGAAAATGATGTTTTTATCCGCCTACAGTTTTGTAAAGTTTAAAGCAACTAGAAATCAAAATTGCCTTAGGTAAGAATATAATGAGAGGCTGCTAACCAGTTGTTCCATTTTGTCAAAGATTTAAAAAATACAAAAATATCACGGATAAGAAAAACTTTTACCTTCATCTAATGAGAACTGCAGACATGGAATTGAACAAACTAGTAAAAGTCAGACATTAATGTTGCATGTATTTGGGGCAAGATTCTACATATGGTAATCTTTAAGGTGTGATGTAATGCTTGTTAGGTAACTTGATCAGGTGGAATCTGTTAAAATCTCAAAAGATTTAAATTTTCTACCTTGATTAACTGCTTCAATGTGATCAGAAGGCAGCAATAAGGAATAGTGACTTTACCTCACGAACTATTGGTAATTACACTTCCCGAAATGTAAAACTTGCTTGGTATTTGTTAATGATTGTGTGGGTGATTAAAAAATTATTCAAAAAAGATGGTGCTTAATTGCTTTGATGAATTTTAGAAAAATAAACTAAGGGTGCCTTCTAGTAACACTTTAAAGCCATTTATATAGCTTAGGCCAGCCCTTATTAAGTTTTTGTTATTTGGGATCTTGATCAATAAATATCCACACAGGAACAATATTTTGAGAAGAGCAACCATATGCTTTGTTTTTGAATTAGTTATTTTTAACGAAGAAATAGGAAGCAATATTTTTATTGGGTGTTCTTGAAGAACAAAAATTCAAATGGATGTGGCCATACTTTAGATTTATCTATCAAGATAGGTAAACAAATGTTGTTACAATTTTATGTTTGAAGGATGTGAATAAATTTGTTACAAGAGGGATGTACTCACATGTTGTTATTGTATTTTGAGAGAGTGGGTGCTTATTGAAGTTATTACATTGCATTATGAATAAGGAAAAAAAAATGATTCTTTTAAAGTGCACATAACATGGGTTTGGGAACTTTTGGATATGTGTAGCCAATGGTTACTATATCAACTTTACGGCAAGTTCACACCAATCTGATTGAAATTAATTCAATTATCTTCACTCAAAGTCGTAAAAATGGACCTCCCGTGAAAACGACTTTGCCAATTATCGAAAACACTCTTAATCCCCTCAGACGCCAGTGACGTCACAGTGACCGAATGCATATTCGGAATGTTTATTCCTTAATTACCTATATACAGCCGGCGTGTGTACTCATTAACGCCTTACTGATTCCTTAATCTCCCTTAGTTCTTAATTAAATAAAACAATTGACTACGAAATAATTCGTTTTGTAATTCATTTTAATTTAAGATCCAATTTAGATTGCCTACAACTTTTAAACTTTGAAGTCTTGAACTCTTAATTAATTTTTTACAATATGGAACTTATTGGACGAACACTTTTAATATGTAAATAATATACCGGTCCAGCTATGTGTTTTTTACTGCGAGCACTTCGCTTTTCCACATAAAGTGTAGTGTCGTTAATATTTGTCATTAATTAATCAATCCGACTATAAAAGTTATACAGGCATGGGAAATAATTTAATTTACACGTCGGTGTTAGCAGTGAGTGTTAGTGGGATTAAGAATGTTGATTAGGTAATTATCTTTTTTTACGCCGGCCAGATCAAAGACATCACTCTAAGTGGAACGTGTGCATAATACCTCATGAACGAACTAATGGTAGAATCGTACACCCACACATTAAGTTTTACTCATCAGTTGTTTATAATTATTATTTACCCAATAATTATTGCTCACTAGTGTTTTTGTAATCAAGTAGCCTCGAATTATTTGTTGATTGGCGTTTAAACAACAATCATTTATCTTCTTTTTAATAAAAGTATTTTACAATTGCATTGACAGTTTAATCACTCACCAAACGGCACCAGGAACTCCACGTATGATCCTGTGCAATTTTCGTGCCGAAGTTTAACCTCATTTACTACACCCGTAGTACATGTAACCGTAAATGGTAATAAGATTCCCAGCGTTGATTGGCTGAGAAATGAGGGCGATCTATTGTACATGTTATGCATAGTCATCGGAAAATTCCATATTCACTGTAAATTTCAAATGGAGTTACGATAAAAGTTGTTCTTTATGTATAGAAATGGTTATTATTATTATATATAGCTAATAATGAATATATTGACAAATGACTGGCGCCATTTGTATTTCTGTACTTAATATATCAAGTATTACGGGGTTATCCAAATTACCGGTAAATGTGCTAATTTCTTGAGTCGTCTTCATTTGACACATGGCCTATTTAAACAAAGGCAGCTTAAATGGATCTACGGCATGATACAGCATTTGAAATTCACTCTAAAATATTCCAATCACAAATGATTCGGTGATTATGATTAGGCCAGTCACGTGGTAATTGGACCGTCAACAGACGCTTGTCAACTTGCCGTGTGTATTGATAGTGCTATATTGTACAGACGGTGAGATATTGTATAGATAATGTATATCCTATGTGTAGTGCCTGTGACGTCACCAGCCAATCAACCGGATTAAGGTCGTAATTGAAAAATTGAAAAGCGTTTTGGCGTGTCGGACACTTAAACGTTAACAGCGGACTTAATTTTAATCAGATTGGTGAGAAGTTGCCGTAAAGTTGATATAGTAACCATGGGCTATACATACATGTAATTTAGATTTTTGATCTTACGTGGTCTTTAAGATAAAATTATTTGTTCTATTTTTCAGAGAGAATATTAGAAGATCATGATTCATTGGTAGAAAATATGGTAATGTGGACACGAGATTCAAAAAATAAAATATTGTTTGAAGAAAGACAACAAAAATATGATCTTTTTAAACAACCAGAGGTAAGATCTCAATAAATGTAGGATTTGAAAGAACCTTTCTCCCTAGAATAATCTGTGCTACATGTTACATAATATACTTTAGAGTATACATGTAACTGGCTAAACCTGTGAGGAAACTCCCTTATCCAGTCCTGTGCAATACTTTGTTTAGAATTCCCCCATTTTATTTTGACGGCTTTGAAAGAATAGGGGAGCAATATAAACTTTATTGGATTTTTACTGATAACGTTAATTTACTCTTTTTTTGACGATTATCATCCAACACAAAGAATTTTAAGGAAATAGAAATATAGATCAGGTCCTACCTCTTTTGAATTTCGAGTTACGATATTAATGTAACTGTAACCAATTTCCATGGTGCATCTCCTCCCTATTCTCCTTCCCACTTTTGTTTTCAATTTGTGAATCTACACATTTAATTAAAAACATTGTAAGTAATAAAGAAAGAATCTTCTTGAAACCCACGATCAAGTTGTCTTACTTTTCTATGGTGTCCTTGTGGTTATGGCATGAGATTTTTCCAGTTGTATGTCTGATCTTGTACTTCCTTGGTTGTGTTCAGTGCAGTCTTAAACCGTAATCATGTTTGTGATCAAAATTGAAAGCCAGACGATTAATGTAATATTTTAGAACTGCAATGAAAAAAGCATTGATTTTAATTTATGATAGGCAGCTGTTGGAGAGTTATAAATATCTATTAAACAGTTTGTGATTCATAATCACTGATTCATGTAATATTAGCTCTCTTAATTCTAAGATTGACTAGTCCAGTATATATACGCCTTTATTGACAGGAAAAGGGAAAATATATGACTGTGTTTATTACAAAGACAGGCTTTTATGTGTTTATAAACAGGAAATTATTTTAGTTTCATCGCGTACTTGAGTTCATTCATTCTGTTAGTGAAACTATCTTATAGAGAAGTTGCATACATCACATTTATACTACACAAGTAGGGCTTCAAGTAGTTTCTGCTTTAGTATATATAATTATATATATTATGTGATAGGGAAATGCATTTGGAAATATGTCGAAGGAGATTAGTTGTGTTTATTGAAATTGTGATATAATTTGGTGTGTTTGCTTTGTGATGTGATAAATTTCATGGAAGCATGAGGTGAGTTATCATTGCAAGACTTTATTTAAATCTGATTAGTCTCTCTTTTCTCTCATTGCAAATTGATGATGGCACAGTGGTTAGCAAGTTAGATAAGTGAACATAATAGTAAGTGCAGGAGAACTGCACTACACACAAACAAAATCCATAAGACAAACCCAAGGACAAATGGATCCAGTGAATGAATCTAGTGTATCCACTGTGCTTTTACAGTCCCAGGCCTGCAGTGATACATTGCATGTTCCATGAATGATCTGAATAGGTACACTTTATCACACTGTTCAAGTCTACCCAGCTGTAATTGGGTACTTTTCTTATGACATATGTACAGGATGGGTTGAGAGAATTTAATATTAAGCATGATTATCAGTGGTAAGCTCTCTGTAACTGATAAAGAGATTTAGTTGTTTGGATGGGATGAGAAACAAACAACTGGCTTATCTTGGTCATCTGAATGGGTCATCTTAAAATTACCTGTTGCATCTAGCTTAGATCATGCCCATTTCATTACTTTTAGTGGAAAGTTTTGCTTTCAAAGTGATACATACACATTAACTGTAGTCTCTAGTAAACTGTTTATGGTCTATGTGAATGCAACATTTTCTCTGAAGGGCATATTAGATAATAAAAGGTTGGCTACCATCATGGCTTTGATGCTTGTGGATAGAAGTAAGTTATCATTTTGATAGCAGTTTGAAATCAATAGAAAGGTTAAGTTCAGATTGCCATAACTTGATTTGAACAATTTATGGACCAATTTACTTTCTTTTTTTATTTTCCATTTATTCAGGAATATTGGTGATTTATATTCATTTTCCTTATTTATTTATGGAATGACTTTTGGGAGTTCATACATGGTGTAATACATATTTAAGTAAAAATGTACAGAAATGTTCATGATTTCCTTAAAATTAAATGATCAATTGATCTGAAAAACAAGTACAAAAATCTAGCCTCTTTGATGGCACTCAAGCACTCTGTTTATAATTGATAGCTTGATGAAATTATCGGTGCTTTAATACAAGAGAACCAAGTTGTTCGTCTAAGTTTGTGTTCTGAATGATTGTTTGGATAGCAATCATTCCAGTATAATTAATTACGGAATAAACTGCCATCAGATGCTCAAGAAACGCCAACCTTATTTTGATTCAAGACATTATTAAAAACACATCTGCTTAAATGAAATGAAGTAAAGTTTAAACCTTTCTCTTCTGCCCTAACCGGGCTAATGAATATGGGTATATGCCATACAGGGGGCTATGAAGAAAATTATCCCGGAAACCAACACTACAGTCTACTCTATTTTTGTATTCCAACTGTCACTGATTCTTTAACATGCACACAATGTGACGAGTACACCGGACCTCAGTTTTTCAATCTATCCAAACAACTATGTAGCAATGAAATCCTGAAACACAGATATCGAACACAGGACTTCCAGGTTAGTTAGCTGCTGCGACTAAAGAAGATTATGAGACATAAAAACTATCATAGTGCTGCTTAAACTATTTTGTCTCCAGATGTTTTGTAGCACTATGAACATAACCCTATTTTAATGGAATTCTGTGCATTACAAGCGAACTTTTATTACCAATCTGTTTCTTTATGCTTTCGATGGGCCTGCACTACATGAAGATCTAGCTGGTTGTAGTGGAAGGTTGTGTCAGGGGTCATACGAGCTGCTTTTGACCCTATGAGATCAAACATTTGATAAACCAATCAGCGTTGATGTTTCTAGGTGGGATACCCACAGTTCTGTGCATTGCACGCCAAGAACTCGCCGTAACAGACCGTTTCATTGGCGCATCTCTCACATCAACCAGAACGCAGGTTATATAACAACTCTTCCAGATCAGTGTAGTAAGACAAGTAAAATGAAATTTTGAACTATAAAAAAAACGAAACAAAATATGATCTGTTTTATCAGATTGTTTTATGAGATTGTTTTATTACTGTATTATTATAGAATTATCACTAAACAAAACAACAATGATGAAAAACAGAAGTAAAATAAAACCATAATAATGTTATTGTTCTCATATTTTATACTAACTAGTGTTAATTGACAATAAAAAGATCCTCCACCCTTTTGGCATCCATGTTTATCTGTGATATAAATGGGCGTAATATGTAGTAATTTGTATGTAAAATATACTTGGACACCTTTGATATATTATCTTAAAACGTTAGAATATGTAAAAAAAGAGGATTGCATTACAAAATTGTTCAGATAAAATTGGTTTTCAGTCTCCAGATGGAAAAAACGGCTAGATTCTTTTTTTTATATTGTGATGTCTCAAACACATTTTTCCTCAAAAATGTAGAGCATATTGGTTTGTGGTGTGTTATGGCCCAGAGAATTATTTTAAGTTCTGTGTTAAGAGATAAGTTGGTAATATATTATGGTGATTTTTGATTGTTTACATGAAAAACATCCAGATAATATATTGTTTTATTGAGATGTTTGAACCATAATTTACTCCAACCAGAAATGTAGAGCAAGTTGATTTACTGGGCCCAGCAGGATTCCAAAAAAAGAATTTTGTGTTTGGAATAGATACGTGAGCTTTAGATATTATATTCTGTGAGTTATGATTTGATTATGAAACCTAGAATGGATATAAAGTTTATTTGTGGTAAAGTTAAGCAATAATTATGTGATTAAAGTGAAGAGTGCTACAAGCACGGATAATTAATGAAGGACTGTCCAAATAGTTATACTTCCTGCAGAGATCATAAACATGGCACTTAAATGGTAGAATTATGGAAAACAATTACCGGTAATCATATCAGGATTGTGTGGTCTTCTGGATACAGTTAAACACTGTGTAGGTATTGGAGAGGACTCTTATTTCAATCATATTCCCCAGCAAGTGAAATTGACAGGCTGGAGAACCCATTTATTTTTTAAAAAAATAGGATTATGCTAAAACCATGGACCTTAAAATACATACCGGTACATTGAAAAACATATCTTGCTAATCTGAGGTAAGCAAAATATGTCAAAATTTTTAAAAGTGAAAGCACTGGATATCCCAATGACTGATTATGATAATAAAAGAACATAGTATCTCCACTTAGAAATTATTATATATATATATATCGGCAAGAGGGTATACCATGATATGTTTATGATAGAAGTCTTGTACACTTCAGTCCAATTGTCTCCACCTTGACTGCAATTATGAACATTACTCTGGACAAAACAATGTGAATTGGTAACTGGCAGTTCCCCAATAATACCTTTCACTTACAGAATATCTTACAGGATATTATGGTCATTTTTCCCCTCACCCAATCAAAAGATATGACATAATCTTTATATGACTTTTGACCATCGTACACAGTTCAAACTATTAATTTGTACAGAACAATATTTGTTGTAGTCTAAGTGGAGATAATTTGTCCTGGAGCGATCAAGACTAGCATCACACATGTTACTATTTATTGCTATATAGAGCTAGCTTCAACGAGTATATTCTGTGATCAGATTGTGGGAAAATGGTACTGTCTATAGAAACAAAAATAATTGAAACAAAAAATAGAATTATTTTATTTTGCTGTCGACAGGATCTTGTTATCTAGCCAAAGGAGTTTTATAAAGGGAAATATTTATTTGTGATACATTAAATCAATATTCTGTCAAACATATGTTCAAAGTATTAAGTTACTCTCAGGAAATATTTCTCAAAGTGAACTTTGTACTAATGTTTTATTTTGTCTGAAAAAATATCTTCCTGTTTGTCAATAATAGATATGAATGCTGCTTTATGTTAGTCATTGTATGCTTTTAATAAACACATGAAAAAGATTTGAAAGCATATACCGATAACATACATTTTTTAAGTCTTTCATATTCTTTTCACATATGTAAAACATGCCAAGTTCTATAAATTATTCTGTCCTATACGTTTTTGTTTATAAAATTTGAAAGTGGCAAAAACATACAATGGTTACAATCTATATAATATTTTCAGTCTTAAGATTTTATTGGCAAAATACAATACTGATTATGTTATAGAATCTTGTTAATAGCCCAATGATATTTTATAATATAAAGATTTTGCTTTTTATTTACCTAAATAATCACAATGTGACAACCTTTAGGGACTGCTCAAGAGTTCTGGCCTGATATATTGTTGAATTGCATATCACGATTCACCTTCTAACGATTCGTGTATTGAATCACAAGCCTCAGAATCGATTTTTTATGATTCCTTTTTTTATGTTTTTTTTTTTTGTCGCTTCAGTTTACTGAATATTAAGTAAAAGTTAGTCCACCAGTCACAAGCGAAATGTACGTTTACTTACTGCCCGTCAGACATAAGAATCGACCACAAGTAGACAAACGAACATTTTAAGCTCTGGACAGTGGACATTAATTGCAATTTTTGACTCCCAATAAAAATATCAATTATTCATTTATCCTAGTAAATATTGACCTGATTATGAATCGCGATATGAATCATATCGTAGTACCTGAATCGCAATACATATCGTATCGTATTGTGACTGTAATTGCAATAGGCCTACCCAGCACTACTGCTCAAACCACTCAACTGTCTTCAGGGTGTATGTTTCATTGCCTGCCAACCTATCATTAATACCTTGGGAACAGAAATGATGAACAATATTTTCACCTTGGACATAACTGTTTGAAAAACATATCTTGATAACCTGAGATAAGCAAAAGACGCCAAAACTCTTCATAACTAGGTTGTCCCAGGTTTTGTCCTGTATACATATTTAAGAATCTTTGGCAGTTGTAATTCGTCGAAGTAGTCTGGAAAAGATTCCCCCATAGCACACTGTATGACGTATGCTCATCTTGATTAGTCCGGCTGAAGCAAAAATGCACCAACCTGACTAATGAAGACAGGGCTCTAAGACAAACAGCAGTTATTACATGCAGCTATTTGGACATTTCTTTCTTTTTCTAACATTATAAATTGGGGAGAAAAAGAAAACATGAAATAAAAACTATAAAGATTAGTGTTTGACAGTATTGATTTGATGAAAGTATTATGGCAATGTGACCTTGTATCATAGTCCGGATGTTGAAAGACATCTTTGATTATAACCAACTATTAGAATTCTAGAAAATACTATTCTGTAATGGAAATGTGCCATCTTTTATTCCCATTATTTCAGAGTAAAGATGTTCACTCAAGGTTGATGACAAGTTTTAAAATCATTCATTTGTATATTTTTTTCTGGACATTATATTTAACCAGAGCTCTGATTTCAGCTACATTTACCAGTCTTAACTGACTGAAGTTAAAATGACCAATTGGAAAACTTATCTTTCACTCAATTTATATGCCATATAACATTAGAATCGCAAATAATCCAGTCGTTTCCATCTAAGTAATACTACCATGGTGAAATTGTCTGTGCACTCTGTAGCCTGGATGAAAAAGTATTGAACAATTATTCAAGGAAATATTTGCATTAAGTAATTTGTTCAGTAGGTTTTATCAGTCAACAGTTTCTACTCTATCATTTGGGGATATTTTTATCTTTATGATTCAGTAGTTTAAATATTGCTCATTTCATTTATCAAGTAGATTATACAGAGGTTGTTTCATATAGCTGTTTGTATGGTTGAGATTTGCAAATGGATATGTTTTTGCTGAATGTTTAATGCAAAATGAGTTTGAGATATCGGGTATGGAGAGGTCTAAATACATTACAGGAAAAATAGTGTCTGATGTCTGAAAATTATTCTGAATTTTGCACAAGTTAATATTTAGGAACTAAATGTGGATTTTTAGATCTCATAAATTTGGAGTCATTCAAGTCTTAGAAAATAAATTTTCTTTGAAAAGTGTTATGTTGTACCCATTGGATGACACATAATTGTGGAGGTGCACCTTAACTGGAATCTTAGTAGTAGTGGACGACGCTTTATTGGAACACCTGGTACCACTTTTGAGATAATATATGATGGTTAAATTCCAATAACCCTTACTTTATTTTGTTTAATTCGTCCGTGACTTTGAGCCTCCTCGACTGATAATAATACATCCTCTGATGTGTGACACATGAGTTAACTTGCCGTTTGCTCCTGGTTCACATTATGACATTTACGGTTATTTAAAGGATATCATATTTGAATTGTCATGCTGTGTTGAATAAGTTCCTAGCTCAAATTGTTATAAACCTAATTAGATTTTCGATAATTTGTTCACATTTCCAGTAATTTTTGTAGAAGTGAGAAGACAAAATCAATGTGTTAAGCTGTTGGAATCATGCTTCAAGTTTTTCAGCTTAAAGTCACAATCCCTGTCTGATTACAAGAATTTCCTTTTTCCTGTGGGAAATATTTCACCTGTTGTATATGTTATTGTAACAAATGTGTAATTTAACAAAATTAATATTAATTCCTGCTATTGTTTTATTTTTTGTAGAAATATTTATTACATGGATCTACATCAGAGAAGAGTGTTAGTTTAGCCAGTGGACAAAGAGATAGATTATTACAGGTCAGTGATGTATTCTGTTCTACCAGGCGTGTGTCCCTGGGGTGGTGGTGGGGGTATATCCCACATTCATCGAAATGACGTCAAAAAAAACTAATGAGCGAAGTATTACCACAGTTTTGGTCTCACTCATCTCTAATCCTATTATTCTATCCATCTAAATGAGCAGAAATATTGCCTCAGACCTGAAAAAAAAAAATTGAGGGTAATACCCCCCAGACCTTATGCCAAAATTAACATTGTGGCCCTTGCCATATGTCTTTACGATGTTGGGTAGCAAAACATGGAGGACTAGTTCAGACATTTCAATTAACGCCTAGGGAATTGACAAGCAGTAACAAATTGATCACCCTATTCACATTGCCTAAGATCCTTTGAATCTAAAAGTATTTTATAGAGAATAAGGATTTAAGATTAATTTCTGTGAAATATCTGCAAGAATTATACGGGTGTGAATCAGTTTCTCCTTAAGTTTGTAGCCTCCACAAATTCTTATCCATGGTTAATTTCATTACAGTCGCATCTAAGGGGATATTAGTATTAAAATTTCCGGTTTTCTTCACCATGTCTTAGACGGTGGGGAAAATAATTTGAAAACAATAACTACTTGGTTCCTCTTCTGAAAAGCTTTTAGTTCCAAGTTCTGAAATTTTGATCATGAGACTTGAGTAGCTATTTCTTTATCAATACACTGATTAACTAGAACTTAATTTGGTTTGGCCTAGGCTGAAAAATAATTATATCAGGGGTGTTTAATTTTGAAGAAATGAATGTTTGTCTGGAAAGTTGTAATAAAAACTAGCAAATTGTTAAAAAAAAAACCCACAGAAACACACACTGTTGAGAATTTGTAGCAAAATTTCTGGAATTGGATTTTTATTTTTCATTTTAGGAGTTCTATTCACGAGGAGGATCACATGCACCTGAGGTGGAAGGAATGTTGTATCTGAAGGCAGACGGAAAGAAATCGTGGAAGAAATATTTCTTTGTTCTAAGAGCATCTGGTCTGTATTATAACCCAAAAGGAAAAATTAGCAAGGTAAATCTTTTGTTACTTTTTATTTTATGATAATTAATAGATCTTTAAAATATTCAATTTAAATATAGCAGGGGTTGAGAAGATCCTTCGGTTCTATCTTGTCTGGGATGACACCTGTAGGGTTGACAAGGAAAATATGTCTAACCATACAGGGATAACAAACTGAAACCTGGTGTTCAAATTGTAAGGCCATGTAAACTATCCCTTGGCATTTGGAATTCGATAAGGAGGAATAAAACATTATGGAGGGATAAAATGTTATTGAGGGATAAAACATTATGGCATGTTCCATATCTAAAAATGCAAATTGCATGAAGATACCTAAAAGAGTTATCTCCCCTCAAATGAAAAGCAATGGTCTGTATGAGCTTTGTAAATGAATTGCATTTTCCTTGGAATACTATTATCAATGTATTTTTCAGGCATCTAAGGATTTGGTTTGTTTGGTTCAGTTTGATTTTGTAGAAGTCTATCACGGATTGAACTGGAAGAAAAAATATCATTCACCTACTGATTTTACTTTTGCTCTCAAGGTTAGTAATTACACTACTGGCACATGGATGAATCACTAGTCACTTATAAGAACTCATTAAGTTTAGTGGACCTTTATTTTGCTTTAATTGAAAAAAATGATAGTAAACATACAGATGTAAATAGATCTGAGAGAAGAAAAGAAGTAAGTGCAGGAGGACCACACTACACACAAAATGATGCTGCATTAAACACAATTTGTAATCAACAGAAGGCTTGGATTTTTAAAAAAACAAGTTACTGGTACTCTAATTTTATGTTCTTAAAATATCTGAAAATCTCAAAACAGTTCTCAAGTTATGTGATGGTTGTTTTTTTAAATCAAATTTTATTCTGTTTTTATCCAGCATCCACAGATACAGAAAAAGACATCAAAATATATCCGTTATTTCTGTGCTGAGACAGATCATTGTTTAGATAGGTGGATTACTGGTATTCGAATGGCCAAGGTAATATTTGTCTTTAGATCAAATCTATATGTAAATGTCATGTCATACAATCAATTTATATTGTGAAATCAACAGCTGAACATACCATAAATATATAATTTTAAGATAATGTTCAATATTGTTCTTTAATCCTATAAACTTAGCCCCTACAGGTTTAGAAACAATCTTACCTGCATGGCCATGACTGATATGATGTTTTGCAGCACCTCTTTGACAGATACCTCTGAGTGTAGGGAATAGGATCGACTTCAAATTTTGTGCATAATCTGATATCAAAATTTTACAAATCTACCCTTATTAGCAAAATATTTTGCTCTGGTATTGAAAACTTGGTGAAATTTAAAATGAAACATTATATTAATTATGTTCTCAGAAGATTGCTACAATTCTCTTTTTGTTGTATTTTTCAGTTTGATAAACAACTTCAGACAAATTATGATAAACTTCTACTAGATATCAGTACATGGGATGAGAGAGAAGAAACAAACAATCAGTTATCAGAAATATTAGATCAACCATTATTGAAAAACTTGGGAAATTTACAAGACAGTCAAATGTCCATACCTGAGCCTGGTTCTCGACATTCTATAATAACAGTAGTCAACGCGTCATTAGTTCGTGATTCTTCAGGTAGCGATAGTCCTAAAGATGTTGTTGGCTTTGACGCCACGCCAGTACCGCAAAGGAAAGGCTCTGCCTCTGCTTCTTCAGAGTCGCCTCAACATAAGGCACCGGTTAAACGTGTCTCTTTCAGCAACACTCATTCAGTCATAAATCCTACAACAAATGAAGAAATGCTGACTCCATTACGGCACCGTGACTCTATAACAAGTGCATCAACTGACTCAAGTGAGGATTCCACATCAAGTGGAGAAGGTCGACATGGCTTTGCACCACGAAGTAAAATCAGAGCCAAATTGCCAGTGACAACAGAAACCACACGTCAGTTATCTGAAATGTTTAGTGCTAGTGTTGATTCACCAACTGGAGAATGTAATTTCTCAGAAGAGAACAGGAGATCAGTTATCATGAACAATTCTGAAAGACGGCGATCAGCATCTTCATTGACAGAGAGAAGAGGGTCATCAGATAGTGGTCACAGTCGTGATCGGCGCGGATCCTTCGGCAAAGGTCATTCATCTTCATCTCATTATTCTTCAACAAGCAGTCGACATTCTAATTCTAGTGACGTTAATCATTACGCTGCTATTCAACAGCCAGCTCTGAAAGCAGGTCAGAGTTTCTACACTGCAGGACACTTAAGCAATGGAGGTTCTGTGGATGAAGATCTATATCAACAAGTGTATGAGGATCCATTTCCTCCTCCGCCAGTTGAGAATCCTGAGGAACTTTACACTCAGGTTGTCAAATCTCAAGCTCCACCTCCAGCTGTACCTGCAACTCATATGAAACCCCCACCTCCTAAACCACCAATCAAACCACCTTGCGCTCCTCCTGCACCTCCATCACAACACACACCACAGGAAGAAAACCCATATCAGGCATCAGGATATCAACAATCACAACATTTTCAGTATCCGACTGAACAACCACAATCTCCAGGTTATTCACCACAAGAGGCAGGATATCCTCAACATCTACCACAAAATATCCAGCAACAAAATCATGCAAATCTTCAACATCAACTGCAACAGGATCATCATCATGCTTCTCAATCTCCACCACCTGGATCTCCAATAGCCAAAGCTGCATCACAGAATCTTCCACAAACACGACCTCCATGTGCTAATGTGCCACCACAACCTCCTTCAGCTGCTGGAAAACCTCCTCTTAAGGTCAATGGAAATGCTCCCCCACCACCTCCCGTTAAAACACCAGCCATGGCACCACCTGCACCTCCAGTAGTTGCCTCTTCACCATCAGCCCCACCTGTAGCTCCTAAACCACAGAGCAATTCCTCTCCTCTAAATACTATGCAGAAATCCCAGAATGGACCACCTACTCCTCCAGCAGTGAAGCCAAAGCCTATGTCATCTCCTCTTAGTCCACAACTTTCACGTGGACCTGAAGGACCTAGTCGTAATCAAACTAATAATTCAGCAGCACAAAAACCTCCTGCAGTAGCTCCTAAAGGGCCAATCAAAATTCCCAAACCAGCACCCTTGTCTGTGGCTAATGGGAACCATGCTGGTCCTAAAATGAATGGTTCTCCTGTATTGAGAAATGGACCCCAATCTCCAGCATACAATCGTGCCCAGGCTTCACCCAAGGCACCAACCTCTCCTTGTGAACAGAAACCGCCGAAAATATCCCATGTGAAATATCCATCGACAGGTTCTCAGTACATTACAAATAACAACAACAGTGGACCAAAATCACCGACATCGCCTAATCAACTTCCATTTTTATCAGAACTGAACAAAAATTCACAGAATCGCACACAAGGTAATAATAGTTCGACTGCTGACGTATCACACGCGGTTCAACAATCACCAAATACACGCAATCATAGACGTTCTGCTTCCGCAGGCAATGCTGTAGTTAAGCAAAAAGACGGTAAGAAAGCACCACCTCCTCCAAAACGTAGTCAACACACGCGATTATCATCAGACTCTTCTCGTGAAATAAAATTAGAACCCCAAGTGATTGATCCAATATATGAGAACTGTGAAGGAATTATGGATATCAATGATCTCCCTCTTCCTCCACCAGAACTATTAGACAACTACCAAAATCCTTTGGATTTAAAAATGGCGACTAACGGAAATAAAGTCAAACCACCCCCTCCCCCTCCTAAGAGGAATCGAGAAACTCAATTGACACCCCAATGATGAACATTTTTCGCAGATGTCAGCTGTGTTTATATGTATTATATGACTGTGTTATTTTGAATGTTGTCACTGTAAGCATCTAATGTTTACAGTCAAACATAAACAACAAGTGTTTTAGATTACATTTTTTTTTCGTAAACTTCATGTACAAAAGAAAAGAGTTTTATTAAATTGTTTTGATAAAGTGAAATAATTATAGTTGTCAGTCAGGAAGTGAAATGATCAGATAACTTTGAAAAGGTTTGTGTGTGTGTTAGTGAAACAATGATCAAATAGTGAAAAGATTGGATCAAACCTTAAAGTGTTAGATTATGCACATAGTTGCTACACGTTAATTGAAAAGTGAAAAACCAAGGATTCATAGCAATTTTTATACCAATAAAGTGGATTTTTATTTTGGAAGTGAAACAATTAAAATGTAAAGTGATTTGATGAAGAAAAACCATCAATTAAGAATTAAGTGAAATGTTAAGAAGATCTGGTGTTGATGATTGTGAATTGAAAACTTTGATGAACAGATAGATCTAATAAATTACAATAAAGATTTAATACTTACTAATTTTATTATACATTTACAATTTTTATCAACATCATAAATTATGTCTATATCTTCCAATTGAATACACTTTTTTAAAGATATATATGTAAATAGCCATTCCTAAGTCCAAAACTTAGAATCATAATATATAAATATATACATATAAATATAATATATTCCGCTATGTTTTTATATGCTACTGCTTTTTTTATCTCGGAAAGTGTGTGCCATGTGATTTTTTTTCCAATTTTTTTATGCATGTACAAATGTGTTCTCTGGTAGAAAAAATTATAACATTTTAAAGTGACTTAAAACTGAAACACTAGTTCCAAAATGATTACTGTGAATATTGTTAGGTTATTATTATTGAAGGGGTAATTAAATAAACATGTACTCTATGTAGGACACAAATTCACTGAAATAAAAAGAAATCATCACCAAATTATTTTATCATATTCAGCTTTTCACAATAACATAGAAGTTATTGCGAATCTCATGTTCACATTTTCAAATAATTTACATATAAACCAGAGGGTGTTTGAGCTGCTTATGGTGTGTGACATTTTAATATTTATACAATTTACTGGAATGTGGTTTAAATAAAAAAAATTCTCAAATTGATTTTCTTTGTTTGCTTGGTTAGATATATGATGGTTGCTATGGTTTTATTAGATACATGGTTAGAGTAATTGTGGTTTCTAATCACAACTGTGATAGGGACAACAATCACTGGTTTATTGGAAATTGCAATTTTTAAAGATAACAAAAATATTATATGCATTTTTTCTGAAAATAACCATATTTATATCATAGTTCAGGTTGCCATAGCGATTATCTTAGATCTAGCCAATGAGAATGACTGTCTCAATATGGTGTACTGTTTATATAATTATTGTAACAATTTTATCAATGTTCTTGGCGAGTTATGAAAAGCAGTCTGATAGGTTTCGTTTATTATATGTAAATAAATTATTTATAAATGAAATAAAACGGGGTTAAAAGTCCTAGGCTAATGAAGATGGGAAAATTATTTTGAACTTACAAGGCAAAATTCAATTTTCGTGTTTTTAGCTTGACAAACAATAGTCAAAAGGAAATCACATTGTTAAAAGGTGTGCCAAATATTGTATTCTCACAAAAATCTTATAGAAAATTCTGAAAAAATTGATGGCCATAGAAATTTATGTACAAGTAACATCAGATGTTCCAAAAATGAAAATGTGGCACCCCAATATGTGATTTTAGTAAAACAGACTATTATTGTACATGTATTTAATTTTAAAAAAACACCCAACAACATTATTAGGTCCAATCAGTAAGTTATTTAATGGGGAAATCGAGGAGAGGAGAGGGTGCAGTTCTGGTGTCGATTTCACTAAATGGCATAAGTATAGAAAATCAGAAAAAATACAAATGTATGATAGAAAAATATCCAATCAGTGAGTTATTTAATGGGGAAATCGAAAGAACCGAAAATCATACTTAAGTACAAATCTATAAGAAAAGCCATAGTTATCTTCAGTTAGTGAAATTGGCTCCTAATGCAATATTATATGGCAGTAAAGGACCACCATTGTTTTAGCAAAATAATTAAGGGACAGGTGAAAATCATGTGATCCACTCTTGTAATTATTTGTGCATCTCAAAGTATAAATTTTATAGTAGCTGAATACAGATTGGTTCTATTTCTGTTTGTTTTGTTATTGTTTTAGTTGTTTTGTTACTGATGTTGTTATTCTCTAGTCACTCTTATATATTTATATTAATGATCCCTCAGCAGTTGAAATTTCAGGGATACTGCTTTGTACATTTAAATGTTGCTTTCTATGTCCACAAAATCATCATGCAATTATTAAATATTAAAATATCATTATTTTTTGTAAGTTAAAGATATAAGTTTGGGTCTTCTGTTGGTAAAACCTGATTCACCAAAGCTTTTTTGTCTCTAGAACGTGAATACATTTGGAATGGAGACGCTCTTTGGTATATGATGGTTTGTTGTTGGGAATATCACTTATAATAAATATACAAGAGAAAAATTAAAATTGTTGATTAAATTCTCCATTTGTTTGTAGTGCTGTAAAAGGGTTATTCAAGGGTTTTATGAGGGTATGTTTAATTTAAAGCATAATAAAATAAAAGACTTTATAGTCAAGTGTTTACTGCATAATATTTAAGTTATTTTATCCTGCCAAATGTAAGGGAAAAAGATCTAATGTGGAGTTACAGATTCAGATAATTTTATATTTATTTACTTAATGGTTTTTAACCTTAAAAATGTCAGATACAAAAAAAAGTATCATTTGTACATTCTTTTGTTGATTTTAGTGGATATACAAGAATTTTTCATTTCAAACATTAAGCAATTATGTATAATTTCAGATTTTTAAAGAAAATGTTTTTTTGTTTTGCAATATCGGTATATTCTCTTACTTTACATTTTCTATGACGATATCGTGCAGAGCTGATTGATTCTCGGTAGAATCCTAATTTCTCGTTAATTTTATTTATTTTGCGGGTTTGTCTCAATTGGCAAAAGTGTAACTATATAACCTAAGATTGTATCAACCAGACTGTCCATAATCTTTAATTAATAGAAGAAGTATAACGTAGTCTTTAATCTTTTTAGACTTTTTCAACCTGTCATTTTATTCATGATAAAAGAACTGTATATGTATAAATCTTATTGTTAAGAAAAGACTATTTAATCTAGTCACTGTGTTTTTACTGTTTGTAATATATTTACTGAATAAATGTGTACTAATAATATATAAGAAAACGGCTTGCTTGTTGTCAATACGAAACATCCAGAAAACCGTAAGCTATATTTTTGACAAACTGTTTCATACTGTTCTTTCAACACTGTGTCGATGGCATCATGGTCAAGTGGTCTAAGGAGTGTGATTTAGATCATAAGGTCTGTCATTGAGTCAAATGGTGTGGTTTCCATCACAACCTTGTACTGTCGTATGGCAAACTTCGTAGGTTTTTTCCAGTTCCTTCTGCTGCTAAAGACAACTTCATGCAAGTGAATTATTGAAATAATGACCAAGTCTGTGTGGACGTTAAAAATCATCTACGGATCTGTTTATGCTTTTGAGTCGAGATTAGTAAAGCCTGATTTGCACTGGCATCAATCAAATCAATCAGCAGGTGGAGTGAAATCGCTATATAAAACAACATCTTGATGGGTTGAATTATAGAGAGAGAGAGAGAGGGATGGGGTTTAACGTCCACTCGACACAAACTATGTCATTTCGGGACTAACACATGGTTTAATTTTATTTCAATAATTCGCTTCCGCGTGGTTAAATTATAATAACATAAAACAAAACTGTTCCTTGATTGACTGAAATTTAAATCACTGTTTTTTTTAATATCAGTCGCCTATTTTTATTATTGACACTGTAGGTATTTTGAATGTGCCCCTTTCAAATCCCATGGATGCAAGATAGACAAGAGCCATCAAAAGATGGCATATCCTCCTAGCTGCCACAAATTTGTACAATGAACATCCATACTAGTCTACCAGCAAGGATAAATGACAGTATTATACTTAAATTCTTAATCAGTTTTATCATTTCCAGTGAAGTTTTATATTCACAATAAAAAAAAAATCAACATAACAAAATATAAACTGAATAAGGACAGACCAACAGATGGATCAAGGAAAGATTGTTGTGTGTATTAAAATTTCACATAATATTGAAAACCGGTAGTTGTTTTTCGATCTGCTCTGGAAAAGAAGCCCTCCAGACTAGTAATCATCTTGTATAGTAGTCAGCAGGCTATGTCAACATTTTATTTATTTTGTGAAGTAGGTGGTATGGTAGGTCTACCTGGATCAAGTCATTACTCTTAGCCATATAATGGAAAAACATACCATATTCTATTTTTAGAAATACATATTGGTTGATTTTATTAGATAAGTGTCAATATGGATATCTATTAGATAATAAGTTTCTGGAAGAATTATTGATGTGTCTGCAGTGAATGGGGTAAGCCTATAATGATCATGCAAAACTTGCTCAGCTACCAAAATGCATTGTGTTTTCCACTCTATCCTTATGAAATTGAGAGTTCTGACATTCACTAGTTTGAAAAGTTGTAACATTAACAGGGAGGTAACTGCTTTTAACAAGACTAGAGATTTCATAATTTTGATATTTTTTATTGAATATTTGTAATGTTTTTTTTTCTTCACACTTTTTTCAAAAATGTATTTCTTTCCTAATAAAACAATTATACATTTACTGAAGACACACACATAAATAATAATTATAATGAAATAAAACATAAATTATCTTGTAAACATTCTACAACTTATAAATAAAAATAATATGGACGGTTTTGTTGAAAGTGAGGAATGTCATTTGCATTATAATAAATCTTGTTCAAGGCCAACATCCTGTTTCAGGTGATAAAGTACAGAATGTAAACAAATCCACAAATTCGAACCAATCTGAATGGCAAAGAGTACAACTGGCTCAAATTGACTATTAAACATAGCCTACATTACCTGAAATCTGCAATTTAGTTCTATACTAATGTCCAAAAGAAAGTACCGTATACACACTAAAAATATGACCAAGTTTTGTTTAAATTAAAAAAATGTGATAACACTAGGCCCTACACTAAACATGTCTTGTGCGTCCAAACTCAATATTTCTAAGCAAATAAAAGGCAAAACAAATGGACATTGTACCCAAATACCGCATACAATGGAAAAACGACTTTGTTTGAAGCAGGACGAAATGCTCAGTGTATACTTTCTTTTGGACATACTTAGAGGGAGATAACCCCAAAGATACAATATGGAGGCAGACAACCCAACTTTTTTCCTGTTAATTTTTTCAATGTTTATTCTTGTAACTCTAACTTTCTTTACAAATGTTAGTTGGGGTGAACACTCTGTATTGAGATAAAGGAAAGTAGTTGTGGGTCTACCTTCATTATGTTTCTCAAGTCAGCAATGTCTCATGAATAGTCCTGACACAAGGACACTACCTACCGTACCCTGTATTATATTTAGATGATGTCTTAAAAGTAATCATTAAATAAAATTAGCAGATTGTTTTCGCATCATAAACACACCATTGTGAGGCAATGAATATATGTCCACCAGAAGCAGCCGTTAAGCATTATATGTTCATAAAATTGATGGACGAATCTGACTATAGATATTGGTTATGGATATACCAATATCTGAACAATTTGTGGAGCTTGGAGGAAAAACATCTAAAAAATTCTCATTTGTAGATCGCTTGCAAGGTTTCGGTAACAGTTAATCTGAAAAATATCATTGGGCTACTAATTAGAAATAGGCGGGCAATCCTGGCAAGTTTGTTTTTTAAATCTCAAAATGACTCTAAATTGTGATCCCAACAAGTTTTTGAAAAAGAAGTCTCAAAAGCTCTTGACCAGACACCAGTCGGACAAGGGTGACAACAATATATTCCAACATAAAATGTAAGTGTATATATAAAAATGTGAAATACATAGAAAACTGGAGCAAAAATATACACTGTATAAATAATATAAATAAAACCTAAAATATGTAAATCTAAATATAATTTTACAATACAAAATAAACACTGTATTGTATAGAATGTACTTGGCATTGTTATTGACCTTAAAACTCTACTCCACTCCACTTACAACAACTGTTGATGCTAAACAACTTCCTATTTTTTCAAGGAAAATTAAAAACTTCATTTGTTTTACTGTTTAGGTCACACCAATTTAATTTTCTGTTCTTCAGGGTCTTGTCTTGACTCAAAAAATAGCCACTTGAATCATATGAAAGCTGTTTTGTTTAAAATTTCAAAATTTCAAAATTTGGGAATAAAAGCTTTTGAACTTTTGGTTTTTAAGTAAATCTTTTTCTCAAAGAAAATTTTTACAGGTGCTATCGAAGAGCAGAAAAGCAAATTGGTGAAGCCTAAGGATGTTTGAATGCCCTGTATCTGAATCTAGGTTAATATAGATACAGATTTTATCTATGGCACATTGTCATGATAATGTAATTAACCCATATTCAGATAAATCAACCAGTTGTTTGTATTTGAAGTATCAGTCTTGCTTTAAGTTCAATTCATGGCTAGGATTTAGGACGGAATGTCAAAAATTATTATCTCAATATTTCTCCATAATTAGAATATATCATCGGCTAACGACAATTCAATGTAGTCACTATATATATAATACATTATTACAAACTAAAATAGTATTTATATTACAATGGATCTCATAAATTACCATAAATTAATCACTATAAGACATTACATACAATCTAAGACCGAAAAAAAAAAATTCCTGTGCTTACGGTTACTTGGTCTTGGCATGATTTTCTCTCAACAATTTCCAAGACTGAAATTTTGGTATTATTTTCAAGAACATTACTCAGTAATTAAGCTATAAATGCTTACAAATAGATAACACAAATAGATAATAAATATTTTCTGACAGACCATTTGGGAGGGGGGGGGGACAAGTAACCATAAACACAGTTCTTTTTTTCTTGACCTAATTGATAATATGAATAAATTAATGGATATACAGGATGTCCACACTCTGTATGCCCCAACTTCTTCACGCAACAGGCCGATCCTCTGAGGATTTTGGATTCAGTTCTTTGCCAATCAAGGTTGGCCAATCATGCACAGACCATGGGGCATATAAATGTGGATCTACATTATATTACATTTTTAAATTAAATAATTAACATATATTATACATTAATATATACTTTAATTATGTAATTAACAATATATACATAAATTACTATACACACTTTAATTAGCCATATAAATTAATTTCTTTATTTGAAATACTTAAATTAAATAATTAACATTTTTTATACATACTTTATCTATGTATCAAATACTTAAATTAAACAATTAAAAATATGCATGCAAATATTTTTTATACATGCAAATATTTTTTATAAATACTATATTTATATATCAAATACTTAAATTAAACAATTAAAAATATACATGGCAATATTTCACACTTAAATTTAATCAATCATTAACAATCTTTATGTTAACTAATTATATATCTTATTAACAATTATTATAATTTTATGTAAAATCTACTGGAGGGATTCACTGTATATAATATACACACAAAAATAAATAATACTTAATACACTCACTTATAATTACAAGAATTACAGGAACTGGATGGATATTCTTATATATTAATACAAAAAGTTTATAGACTTGAGACAATTACAACAGAATTTACAATAAAACAGACACTATTAATATTAGCTGTATAAAGGCGTGGTTATAGAGTCTCACAGATAAAAAGTTTTTTTATGCACAATAAACAAACAAAAAAAATACATTTTCACACATTCACACTCATATCACATTAATTTAAAACATCAAACCCAATGTATACTGGCCATCGTGTTTACATTAAAGCATCACAAAATATTTTCATTCAAACAGTAACAAAAAATTGAAGTATCATGTACATAGAAATGGAAACTATTTCTTCAGAAGAATCAATGATGTATGTTACCCTGATATCTGATCTGATAACATTAAGAGAAAGGGAGATGGGGTTTAACATCCATTCAACACAATCTAGGTCATTTCAGCATTAACATAGTTAAATTTTAATTAAAATATATTGCTTGTGTTTCTGAACCCCGGAGAAAACCCATGAGGATGGGCAGGCAATCCTATTCCTAGTCACATACAAGCTCCGGATCGAACCAGACCACTTGAAACATTGACAGACCTTATGACCTAAATCGCACTCGTTAGACCACTTGACCACCAAACCCCTGATAACATTAAGATAAGATGTATGATAAACATGCATGTAAAAGAGGCTACATTTAATTCATTCATTGGATGACAATCAGCTGTCAAACCACCAAGGTCCAACCTGCCATTCATGCACATAACAGAAGACATGTAGAATTTGAGGGTAAACTAACAACAGTACTACACAATCAGGAAATAAAACATAACATACAAAACATGTACCAGGAATATAAAATATTAAGCCTGTGGTTTGGTATATCTTTTTTATGTCAGGGACTGTTGTAATGGCTTCGCTTGTTTTCTTTCTTGTTCAGAGATCAAATCTTAATTTATTTCAGGAGTTTTTTTTATCAGTTTCCAGTGAGATGACTAAATGGAGATGTCTTCTAACTCAGTTTTGAATGTATGATTGACTTGAAGTTTAATTATTAAACAGTTAATTCAGGAGTTTCTGAGGCCACGTCTGGTAAGAGGACTAATTGGAGGAGTTTTCTCCCTTTGTTGATATCCGATACTGTAATAACCACTGGAGCTCAGAGTTTTTTCAATTAAATTATTTAATTGTTCATATGTGATACCCATTTCTGGATCATAATTACTCGATCCTAGAAAAAATATAAAATATTAGGATGACTTTAAAGTCCTGATGTGCCATTTTAGCGCTATAGGAATCACTTGCCAAGTACAATATTATGAAAGATGAATATTTACTGGCAACATCCCTCCAAATTTGTTCAATTACGTTCAATATTTATTTGGAATTGAAATTTCATCAGTCTATGTTGCTTCGATATATAATGAGCTGCAGCCATTTTGTTGTCTGCAAAAATATATTAGTAGGTCTGTTTTAAATCTAATTGAATCCAAGCCAGGACATTATCTAGGGTTAGTATTTTGATTGTTTTCTTAATTAAATGTTAAATAATCAATCTGAGTACATATTAGCTTAGTACTAGTTTCATTTGAACAATATTTCAATTCATATTCCTGACTGAGTTTGGAATATCTTACCTTTAAAAACTCATTTAATTTACTACGATCACATAAGTGTTAAAACATTCTGATTGCTATTAATAATAATACCAACCTTGTTTGGAATTGGAACCTAATATATCTCTTTCTAAACCTCCAGATCGTGGTCTATGTGACATGACTCCTGGCATTGATAAAACATCGATCATATCTGGTGATCCTTGCATCAACTAAAATTAAATCATGCATTAATACATACGAAAATATAATTTGTAATTAATGCATAAACCAAGATTCCATTTGTTGAACATGAAATCTGTTATGTGTGATATTAATGAAAAAATTTCGAAAGACCAGAGATCAAATGTATTTCATAACATATTAATATATACTGTTAGTTTAGTGGAATCGGGTAATGTTAACATTGTGGTTAAAGATTTTATGTATAATGGAAAAGGTAATATTATTATGAGGAAAGTTGACATGTGTAAAAGGAATTGATATTATTATGGGTAAAGTTGACATTATTGGTAAAGTTGACATTATTGGTAAAATTGACAATAATGGTAAAGTTGACACAAGGTTGGACAGGTGACCCTACTCCTTGTCACATTCAAGCGGGGAATTGAAACCACCCAACTTGACTCAAACTGGGTAAAATTTGTATTATCATTGGGTAAAGTATGGGTAATGTTGGTATGATTATTGGTAAAGTGTCAAGTTGATATTAATTTACTTACTTTTTTAAGTTCTGACTTCAGGTTAATAGAGTTGCTATGAGGAGAGAATAAAGCTCTTTTAAACTGATCAATTTTTCTTCTTTCATAATTAGGACTTAATGTTGGTGGAAGCTGTAATACAAGTTAACAATAAGCTAAACACAGTCCTACTCACAGGCTGGAAAATTTACACACGCTGAGTTTCAGAAAGACTTCTACTGCTGTCAACATAACCAGACTGCAGTCATACACCCTTGTTACTATAGCCAACTAGCCATAACATAGACTATTATCAAAATTTGATTTTCTTTGAAAAGTCCACGAAGTTGAAACTCTTGAACGTATGACACAGCAAAAAGCCTGCCGTAAACACCAGAGTTTTACACCCCCCCACCACCTCGGCAGTGCCTCTTGAACAAGGTGGATGTGTTATTTAAGGGAATAAAAATTTAGTTTTTCTATTACTTTCAATGCACAAAAGATCAATGACCTTCGTGCAACATGGTCCTTATCCTTATAGCCGAGTCAGAATTGCATGTCCCTGTCATTTATATAATATAATCATCATTACATTAATTTTCTAATTATTTTTGTTTTGTTTATGGTTTTGTGGAATAAATCAATATAAATTATTTTATAATATTTTATAAATAAATCTATTATTTACCTGTGTAATATAGATAATTTTATGTAGCTGAACCAACATCTGAACAATTGGATCGTTTATTTCACGTAATCTGTTAGGTGACATGGATAATGTTGCTGTACTCCCTGAAAAAGAACCCCAAAACAATTCATCAAATAAAAGTAAGTAAGAACATAAATACCAAATACAGAATTAAGACCAAAATATAGAAATATTAACACTATTTTCATTCAAGAATTCAAGTAAATATATCCACATTTTTTGTAAACTTAAATTAATCGAATTGGTATAGTTAAATCTATAGTTATTGTAGCAAACCCATTATCTCCCACAAAACACATACCGAAAATCCTCGAACTTCAAAACCCATTTCACTTTTAATTGGCTTTACTACCCCTTTTCTCCCATTAAAACTTAAATCTCCAGAATGTAATAATAATAATTAATTCCATTATTACATATAGAAAAGATAATTATTTCAATTAGTTAAGTAACTAAAAACTTAAGACAATAGACTTACTAGATCTTGCTTCCAGGAATTTTGATCTTGGAGTAATGGTTGTATCATTGGAGCTCTGTGATCGGATTAAGTATGGACGACTGTTTAATAAATATTCTACATCGGGACTGGCCAATATGTCCTCCGTTGTACATTGATGACCTGGTGAATTATTCATGTTTGGGGAAGGATCCCCAGAACTTAGCCCTGAATCACGACTTGATTTGGCTGCAATTAAAAGATAAAAATATATTGAAGAAACCAAATTCTAATTTTAATACTATCAGTGGCAGTTTTAATTTTTTTAAATTCTGTTTATAGCCATATAGAACTCACAAATGCAAGCGCTTTGCCTTTGAACTTTAGCACCATTACTTTACATCCCGCATAAAACCCTCCTACTGCCACTGTTCTTCCTTTCAATAGGATAGACAATCACTGTAAATTTCATAAAGTTGGATCATAATTAAAGTCTCTATGGTGCTAACAAGATTTCATAACACAAAGAGGTAATAACCATGAAAGAGATTAACTGTCTTATCTTCATTTGCTTGGTTCGTGTAGAAAATTATGATGTTAAACCCATTTCATTTCCTATCATTGTACCATTTTACATATTACTGCAAATTTGTTTGTCTTACCATTAGACGGTATATTTAATATAAGTTGTGACAGAGGTTCGTTTCGACCATATGGTTTTCTATTGTTATGGGATAAAGGTAGACGGGGTTTGCGTGTTATTCTGCCCCGGGATCTGGTGCTACCCGCACTACTTCCTCTACTCTCACTACCACTACTAGGATTACTTTCATCATCACTTGTCCAGCCTGAAGAGAAAAGAAACTGTGTTAAAATAAATGAAAAATATGTAACATAGAGATTTCTTATTATCAAAATATAAAATGTTTAAAAGTTTTTGGAAAATACTTTGAAGGGCAAAATAGCATCTTAATTCAGACTTCATATATTGATGGCTGGAAACTTGTTACTTTCATTGCCAAGAAAATAAAAACTGTCCACAATCGCTGATAAATAATTTGTGAATGGCATAGATTATCTTGCAAACATATTCATGAATGAGGAAAATAATAAACTACAACATAAACTGCTGTATGAAATTAATTTAATGTTCCAACCTCTATCAGCATTATCTTCACCTTCTGTTGATAGTCCATCCGTTGAACTAGAACATGTCTTAAATACATCATTATCATCTCCGTTCTAAAATAGTAAACATATACATATTATACCAATATCCCTGATCCAGTTTAATGTGGTCTATTACTCATATTCAATAACATGCTTTACTAAGCATTCAGCTACTCAAAAATATCTAACAACTAAACATTCATTCAACAACTAAACATTAAGCCAATCAATAAAATCCAACAACTAAACATTCAGCTACAACAACTAAGTGGATAAGACACTGGCTCACTAGCCTGGAGGTCGGGTGTTCGATCCCTGCATTGGCCGTGAAACTTCACCTAGATTTTCCGGCGTGGTTTCCCCTTGTCAGTGATGCAGGATGGAGGGTCTGACAAGGACAGCTGTCTAGTCGTTCGGATGGGACGAAGGTCCCGTGTACACATTGGCGTGCCCGTAAAAGATCCCTTGGCAGTTGGAATTCGATATAAGAGTAGGCCGTAGCGCCGCTGCCTGGGCAAAATTTCCCTCATAGCACACTGTATGGCGTATGCCCGTCATCATTAGCCCAGGTTAGGAGCAGAACAGTAGGCCGTTAAACCCCATTTCATTTCATTTCATTCAAAAATCAGTTCAGTCAACAGTTAACCCTTAACCGGCCATTGTCGACTATAGTCACCACAACGTTATACAGCTAAGTGGTCACGGTCGACTAAAGTCGACCACAACAAGAACCTTTTTTATAAGCCGCATTTGAGTATTTAGTTTCGTATTTAATTGATATGGCCACGCATGCGTGTCAGGCAGGAACTTGTCTTGTCAAGGGCATTGAGAAAGACAGGTCTTTGTTCAACATTTTTTGACGAAAAACGTAATTTAACGATGTCGGGAACGATAAAGACGCTCGAAGTGGTTGAAATTCTTATGAATTATTCTGACTCGGATTATATCGATGACACCGATTCTGAAGACGATATTTCTGATGAAAAGAATCTAGAATGATTTGCAAATTATAGATCAACTTATCCCCTTCAACTTTTTTATTGGTGTCAAGAGTCTATCACTTATAATTATTCGGCAGTAGTCTATTGAAATAGGCATACAAAATATTTGACGTCAGACTTTAATATTTAGCCTGACCACTTAGCCTGGGTTAAAGTTTCAGACATCTACACAACTATCAAATACAAACAGTCATCAGTACACTTAGCTAGACCACCAATCATCAATTTTTCCCACTACTAACCTTTAAATGAGAAGAGGCTTGTTGTAAAAGTCTATCATATCGTTCTTCTGATTCCAGGTATTTCTGCATATTCTGGTTTGATTTTATCACATGTCTGTAAAGATTAAATAACATTTGGTATATTGTGATATCACAAAGAACAGTGAATTTAAATTCCTGTTCTTACTATTTAATAAATTTCTAGTTGTCCCTGGGGTGTTTATTGCACAAGCAAATGCAATTTTTGACCCGTGTGTTAATTTTTTGTCATCTGCTTTCAATTAATGTTTACTGTCATGTATGTATCTGTCTTTTCTTGTATATAGATTTATCCATTTTTCCATCCATATATGGCACTTGGACTATCCAAAACCACCCGTAACTAGTGGTCTGTAACTAAAATTCTTAAATGAACAAGGGTAATGCTAAAGGGTTAAAGTAATAATCTGCAAATAAAACTTACTTCTGTGTTCGTTTTCTTTCTCGATCTAATTTTTTCTCCAAACTAGATTGATTTGTTCTCAGATTATCCATATGTATTAATATCAAGTCAACCACCTCAGCACTTATCTCTAATATATCTGGCCGATTTTCTGGTTTTACTTTTATTAAACTGAAACGACATATTCTACGGTAATTTACACCAAACATGGCCTTATTTTTCTTATAAAAATAAGAATAAATATTTCAGTTATGTCAAACTTAACAAATAGATTGGCAAAAATTAAGTAGGACAGTGCTTGGATTTTCAATAATTAGGCCAAATAAAAAATGCCTGCGTTTACAGTTACTTGGTCACAAAAAATTTCTTTGTGGATTAAGACTGGATAGAACTAAGTGAACTAATAAATTAATCTTTTAATAACTACATTGATACTTGCAGTCTATAGCCTTTGTGATGTTATCTTAAATACTGTGTATATTATACATTTCATAGTATTTCTAGCTTAATTACTGAGTAAAGTTCTTTAAAATAATGCCGATTCCGATTGTCATAATACCGAAAGTGCAATGTCTGCAGATAAGTGTGCAAAGACCGATTTATAGGACCTGGGAAATCAAAACAATTTAGGGGCAGCAACTTTGGCTAAAATAGGGGCCGTCAGGTAACCACAAACTCCTAATTTTATTTTTTATACTGAATATATTATATACAATTAGTTATAGATTTACATTTATTTTATTGTTGAAATAAAAAGACTGATGAGGCTGTACCTGTAAACTGTATTAATAAGTCTTGAAGAGTAGTCTCCTTTAGGTATGGCTTCATACTTAGCTTCAACAATCTAAAAAACATACAGCCATTTTATGAAATAAATGAGGAAAAATAAACAATAATCACAATACATTATTGACTGAAACTTCTGTAAAGATAGGGGCAAGGTGTACCTAGGAAAAGAGAAGAATGATTATGAACTATGGGTGTGGTTTACAATACACATAATTCATAGTTTATATTATAAAACAGGTATAGCCATCCCTGTACCCCACACAACACCTTTCAATGTATTTATCAGATACATGTATTTAACTGTGAGAAATTTAATGTCTACCAAATTTGTTCAAATACTAAATAGTCAAAATTTGAGAATATTTTTGGGGGTAACAGTAAACCTCTAGTTGTGTAATTTCCTTCCACTCTTCCAACTGATCAAAACATTAATTTGTGCAAGAACAAGTAAACACCAAATAAATTAAACCGGACTATACCTTAGTAACAAGTGATAACATATTAGCACTAAAAAATGGTGGTTCTAATGTACAGAGTTGATACAGAATACAACCAAAAGCCCAGATATCTGCCTTTTCACCATATGGTTTATGTTGAACAATCTCTGGACTGAAAAACACAAAGAAAAAATTAATTGCATTATACCAGTATTTCTTGAATGGTAGTCTACTACTATTTTGAAGCCCTTTAAATCTTTTATGTAAATTGTTGTCTCACCTCGACTAAAACATAACATTTTTGGCTTTGAATGGCTTTGAAAAGTGTGGATCAACGTGACAACTGAATTTCTGATCGGAAGGTCTTTTGTTTGGGAAGTCCAGGAAGCTGCTTTATTTCTAGTATCAGTCCTATTTTCTTATTCTCATTGAGAAGTGATGCTTAATGAATTTTACTCACCAAGAATATAAAATAGTTCCAACAACAGAAGTCATTTTACTACAATCACTTCTCTTCTGTTTCGCTAAACCAAAATCAGCTACAAGATAAATAAAAACAATGTTCTATATTAATTCATAGTGATAACTCCAAAGGACTTTTGAAACAAAAATTGTTCCCTCATTATTCATTTGTAAATTGGAACCCTTCTTTTCCAAACTCATACGAAATATACTTTACATGAATTACTGGCAAATGGTAACATTATAAAAGATATATTGTAAGAGAAATAAATATACTTACTAATAGTAATTTTATCATGTTCATCTAACATAATATTACTAGGTGTTAGATCTCTATGAACAATGTTCTTCTCTTTATGTAAATATCGTAATGCTAACACCATCTATAATTATAAAACATCTAACATTAATATAAGATCTCTCAATGAATAAAGTGGCATGGTTTTGACAAAAGACTATTATGTAATGTCTATGTATTTTCAGGTGTTCTCCTGGATTCCTTCAACTGCTAAAGACCCCTATGCAACTGGCAAATTATTGAAATATCAATGCATCATATGTCAGTTTTTTGTCCTATCTTAAAAACTATGTTCACTTTCCTTGTCAGCATCACTGATGCCAACCCTGACATGTGATGATGAGGCCTGAAAAATTGGGGAAACACAATTGGATCTCAATTTGGTTCAAATAAAAATGATTCATTACCTGTAGAAAGATATTCCACACTCTGCTTTCATGGAATCTTTCTTTCTTCTCTTTCAACGAATTAAAATGTTCTAAAAGTGGTGCTCCCTCGATCAAATCCATTACAATATACAACCTCTCAGCTGAATAAATAACAAAACAAAAACTAATACCAAATTTAAAGTTATTATAATACACTAAAGATAGTTTGCCAGGTGGATTAATGACCATTACCCTGTTATTAATTAAATGTAACGGTACCATCATCTCTTATATCAATATTGATCTTGAAAATAACAGTCTAAAGTGAGGCACATATTAGAGTGAGAGATAATAGAACAACTCTATTCTAATGTTCAATATGGAAAATCTTCACTATTTCTGACAAGTTTAAAAAATTATATGAACTATTTCAGGATAGGCCAACCTGTGACACAAGAAGCACATTGTATCTCATGATAATAGTGATCATTAGAAGTAAAACAAGTTTGTGTTCTAAAGAATTCTTTGCTAGTCTTGATAACTTGATATTATACTGAATTAAAAATCTTAGTGAGGTAAATAATGTTTTTGTCAACATGTTTTTCTTAAAGATGCATTATGTAACATTAGATAAAGAGTTAACAGTTCTCTTTATACTAATTTAAAAATGGATAATGTAAAGAGAACATGTTGAAAATGTCAGTTAAATTACTTCACTCTGAGCCGAGTTATCGCCTTTACATGAACAGTGTAGCATTGATTGTCATTGCTATGATAATAAACAAAGTCTCGATTATCCATGGTTACACTTAATCATTAACCTCAAAACGTATTTAAATCTAGCAAACAATTAAGTGGCGGACCCTTTCGGACTATATCTTATCGTTATTTAAATCTGTTGAAAATCTAGATTATCCGATGTCATCAAGAGTTGATTATGGTCTTGGTTATTTAAGGCATAAAGAAAGACCCGCAATAGACAGATTTAACTCTTACATAATGCCTGTTTAAAGTTTTATGCAATCTGGTTAAAACACAGATCCTATTTTGTTTCGTTTTACTTGTCTTTACTACACTTGGATCTGGAAGAGTTGTTAATGGTGTCAGGGATAAGCCAATGAAACGGTCTGTTATGGCGAGCTTTAGCTGGTTTTGCACAGAACTGTGGGTAATTCACTAGTAACATTAATGCTGATTGGTTAATCAAATGTCTGACGTCATAGGGTCATAAGTCGGTCTTTGGACCCCTGACGTGACCTATCACTATAACTTGTCAGATCTTCATGTAGTGTAGACCATCGGAAGCATAAAAAAACGAAACGAAATATAGATCTTTATTTTAATCAGATTGAGTTTTACCGTACATCTGACTATAGATAATATTTGGAACATGGAACCTAGTAGGGATTGGCCTGTGCTATTTGATCAACAATAACAGCAAACAGGATAATGTGACTTACAACTCCTTCCGTGAAAAGATCAAAATATTCTATTCCTCTGACCTTGTTGAAAATTTATCAAAAACGGACTGTGACAACACCAACATATGCATCCAAATCAATTTAGCTGTGTGAAAAATCAGCCACATTGAAATTAGGACTTTGCTTCGAATTGATATAATAAAATCTACAATAGTACTTAAACATAAAGAGATCTATATGTTCTATCATAAATTAATTACCCACCTTCAACAAAAGTTTTATAATAACGAACGATATTTGGATGTTTTAGTTGTTCTCTCATAATCTGTAATTCATTTGTTATTTCACCAACACTAGTTTCAACTTCTAGACTGTTTTTACCAAATGCAGGATTCTGTAAATTCAGCTGTAAAAGAAACATTATAAACTTTAAACCCAACAATACAAATTAGAGATGCATTATGTAAGGGCCTAAATCTGTCTATAGCAGGTCTTTTTTCTGGCTTGAAATGTTATATAAATTATTATTGTTTTTCAAGGGACACCATCCATACACATATGTAGTATAAGACCACTAGAGTTTATTAGGTCTGTGTTTCCAGTCTTAAAGAGTGACACTACATTTGTTTTATTATAGAATCTGCATTATGAATAACCATTGACTTATATAAAGAATAAACGTTTACAGTTAATTCTTTAATATAATTGAATCTGATATACGGTACTGAAAGGTGTGTGCTATTCTCCATAATTTACCAGTTAAAAATTCATCTGCAAAACAAGAAATAAATGAAAATGAAACTCACCTCTTTTAAAGCTAGAAATGATGACTGTTCAGCAGATGTCTTTTTAACTTTATAAACAGAACCAAATGCTCCACTGCCCAAAAGTTCAAATACAGAATATTCCCCAATATACTTGGATGGATTACGATTTTGATTTGTTTCAAATATCTTATCTTTTATTTCATCTATCTTTGATTTCTAATAATTAACAAATGTAAACAATTTATAACATTAACATAATAATAACATAAGGATGACATAATAATATAACATAACTATCACTCCCATAAACTAATGGTAGTACATCAGGCTGGGTATGCTTACTTTTTCCAGAACACATCATACCAAAGTCTATCATTTGAGGAGTTAGCATGGGTAAAAGAAATTGGTGGATTTTTGTTAGGAAAATCTGCCACAAGAAATACAATACACAAAGCAAACAATATGTCTGATATTGTTATGCATCACAATGTGAAATGTTTGTTGTAACTTCCATACTCATGCTTGTACATGTAGTTGTGAATAAACTGTTATTATTATTATTATTATTATTATTATGTTATTTTGTATGGAAGATGGCAAAAATCTCAAGGACCTACCAAGGTGGCACAAACTCCAACTACAACCCGTCATACTAGTTGAAATACTGCAACTTAGAATAATCATAGTTTGTTATAGTTTATCATTATACTTACAGATAGTGAATTCATCATATCAACTAGTGGTTTATATGCTGATAAATCTTTATTATAGTGTCCAACATCAATAAACAGTTCAAATAATTCTACTGGGAATAATCTTTTAAATAACCAACGATTTCTCTCCATACTGAACAAAAATCGCAACGTTCGAAAGGCACTTCTCTGTAATAATAAAAACAAACAAGATATAAATACATGATATTATGTTACAGTAGAAACATATAATAGAAATTAATCAGTGTTTTATTTTTGACAACCAAAGCACAAATCAACTACCACCCTCATTCGGCAAATCTCAGCCGACTCCGGTACCCTACATCTAGGCCACCCTCGGCTTCTGAAGAATTTGATCCGCCATTGGAACTACTTCAAGTTTCCGGATTAAAAATGGCGGCGCCCATGAAGATGCCTGTGAAGGGTGTTTTTTCCTCAAGAAACTCTATATTGGTTGTTATGTAAATCAGACAGCATATGCTTACATTTCAAGTTTATCAGATTTTCTTTATTTAAACAAAGGACAACTTAATTTGCAATGAAAATTCCTCCTGTATTTACGACACAAGAGAGTAAGCTCCTGAAATTTACAGATCAGTAAAACCTACCTGGAGTTTATTAACAGGTTTTTTCTCTCTATTAGAAACATCTTGTGGTAAAATTAACAGCCCAAGGGCATAAATACCATTAGCTTGAGCTATTTGTTCAGCATTTGTATCATTTAACACCAGTTCTGTCAACGCTGCACAGCAAGCTGAAGTTAGAAATATTGTGCACGAGTAACATAAATTGTATACAACTGCAGCTATATACACAGCTTACAAAGCTAATGCAAATTTTATACAACTAGGGCTATACAGAGAATATAAAGGTAATGCAAATTGAGTTGTGGATACAGAACAACAATCACACAAGATTTTATTAGTTATTTATTACTTTTATTAATTATTCTAAAAATTTCCAAATGTCTGAGATCAGTATTTGAAATTTTTGTGATATCCAGTGTAGCACATTTGTCATGGAAATAATTATAGACAATAGAGAGAGAGAGAGAAATGGGGTTTAACATCCACTCAACACAAACTAGGTCATTTCGGGACTAACATATGGTTCAAATTTATTTCAATAATTCGCTTGTGCGTAGGGGTCTTTAGCAGTGGGAAAAAAACGGAGGACCTGGAGAAAACACATGAGGTTGGACAGATGACCCTAATCCTTGTCACATACAATATGGACAATAGAGAGTGTACAGTGGGACATTTAAAAATAAGGCCTATACTCATGTAAAGCAGAATATATAAATTAAATTGCTATGTTTTTCAATCTATATACAAAAAGAACTAGAACTTTATCTTTAGTCATTTTAATGATATTTACCTGATTTTAAAGAATAAGGTAGTTCTTCTTGCTGTAAAAGAATAAAAGAATGTCTTTTACAAAAATGAGTTAAAATTCTTTTCATATCTTATTTTGCAATGAGGATATTATAACTCAAATAATTTATTATTCTTTGAAAGAATGAGGTTATCAATCAGCACCCTTATTTCAGACTTGACAGACTGGTAGTGAAATTACATTCCAAAAAATTAGAATTTCGAAGAATTTTACCTTAAAACACAATAAATACAGATAAATCTATGTGTAAAAACTTAAAAAGATATATAAAAATTAGAATAAGCTAAGAAATTGTAATATTCTGTGGAAAATATATCTTACTAATCCAACGTAAACAAAATATGTCATAGTTTAATACCTGGCAAAATTTTAAAGTGAAAGCAATACTTACATCATCGACAACATGTGGTGTTCTACCATGAATACCAGCACTAGCTACACCTCCATTATTATCATTCTTCTCTGGTACAAACTTACGATCACTGTAATAAACAATTTCATACTCTTAATTGTTATAAACTTTTCTTATGCCAATTTTAAATTCAGACAGAAAGATAAGACTGGGTCATGTGGCTGGGTTCCGGGTTCGATCCTGGTATTGTCTGAAAAAGTTCCTCAGGATTTTCCAGCCTTGTCAGTGGTGTTAGACGGAGGGCCTGGAAAAGAATGGTGTCTAGAACTTTGGATGGGATGAAAACACATGTGCAACATAGACAGTTGCAATTTGATTAAGAGTAAGCGGAAAGGCTGCTGTCCAGGCAAAATGTTCCATATAGAAAACTGCAATAGCGAATATCTTTATTAGCCCAATTGGTGCAGAAAAGTAGGACATTAAACTCAATTTCATTGTCACATGTCCCTAAAGTTGAACAAAGTTTCATGTGAAATGAGAATTTAATCATTATTGAAAAAATTAACTCTTTTTTTTTATAAAACGTACAATTAATAAATCCTCAAATAACTTTATGTCTACATTTTTTTTTTTTACAAAATCATGACCATCAGACATTTCCAATTCTTACCAAGAAATTTTGAGAGACACACAGGGTATACCTGTGATTTGAAGCAGATTTTTAAAAAATATTGAAACTATGACTTACTGTAATAGAGACAGCAATAAGGGGATTCCCCCACATAGTCGTATTTCTGTACTTGTTTTAGAATCTTCACACAATTGAGCTAAACACCAAACTATGTGCCATAATAGATTCAAATTTTCACTGTTTAATTGACTGGAAAAAAATAAAACAAACAAACTAAAGCAGGAAATTTTTTTAGAGCAATACAGGAACAGACTGGGATCCATTTTCTATATTAGGTTCTAGGGAGAAAAGTCAAAAAACAAATTTGCAACACTCAGTTCAACATACATGATGTGCATTCTTTTCGGTTGGTCCCCATCCCTCCAGAAATTCCTGAATGGCAACGTTACTTGCCTATTACCCGACAAACCTTTTTAACACATGGTTTTGGCAAACCACAGTGGCTAAGTGGGTAAGACGCTGGCTCGCTAGCCTGGAGGTTGCCTGTTCGATCCCTGCATTGGCCGAGAAAGTTCATCAGGATTTTTCGAAATGGTTTCCCCTGGTCAGTGGTGCAGGATGGGGGGCCTGACAAGGACAGCTGTCTAGTCATTTGGATGGGATGAAAAACTGAGGTCCTGTGTGTACATTGGCACGCACGTAAAAAATCCCTTGGCAGTTGGAATTCGATATAAGAGTAGGTCATAGTACCGCTACCTGGGCAAAATTTCCCTCATAGCATACTGTATGGCGTATGCCCGTCTTCGTTAGCCCAGTCAGAGCAGAACAGTAGGACATTAAACCCCATTTTATTTCATTTCATAATTTCAACCCATGGTTGGAATAAAACCCAAGGTATTTGAGTCGTGATTTCAGTTACCAATCAAAGACTAATGATCTTCCCTGATCAATACTGTATTAAATGTCATTTTGGAATGGTTTCTTTCTGTATTTTCAGGGTTAGACGAAAATAAACCCTGTTCTGAAGATACATAGTGCACTGCAAGGTTTATGACTGTATTCATTAGCCCATTTGGAGCAGAAGGTGGAAAGTTAAACCCCATTTCAATCCCCATTTCTTAGCTTACCTAAGTAATACTGGTATTCCATCATAATCTCGAATTTTTTCAGCACTGGCCTGATCTCGACACAATAAACACAGTAAATTTGATGCTAATCTAAAATAACATAAACACAATAAGAGACGTAAAATTTTGCAAATGTGCAATATCTATGATATATTAGTAAAAATTCTTACTCGTTCACAATAAAGTTTAATTAAAGTGTGAATAAACTTGATCCCTCTTTAACAAATTACTGAATGGATTCTTACTTTTTAGAAACTGTGTCATATTGTTGTATAATTCTTAATAAAAACTCCACCGAGTTTAATTCACCAATTAAATATCTTGGTTTAGGACTGAAATTATAAAAGTCAAATTAAGTGAAAATCTAAATTAAATATATCAAACGATTTTTGATTTCTTTTTCATCCAATTTATCTTGATATGCATGTTTTGTACAGATAAGTTGGTTAAATTCAATAAACTATAACACATAATTATAGAAGAACAATTACTGATTTATTTAGATGACGTTTCAAAGAGTATTCTCTTAACGTTTTCGAAACATGGCCTAAATAAATCAGTAATTGTTCTTTCAGAAGTATGTGTTATAGTTTATTGCTCTATCCAGTTACTAGATACCTCTAAAAGATTGGTTAAATTCATTACATTATCAGTCAACTCCAGGGCTCACAATTCGGTCAAATGTGTCAGCTCTGACTTGACTCGCTGTGAAATTGACTGGATTGGAATATGACATGCCAGTCACTTCATGTGCCTTAAAATTAGGTGTTTTAAAAGTACATTGTCAAACAGTAAAATATAATTAAAGTTGTACGAAATCAATCTAAAACAAGTACTACATTTTGTCCGGACAACTTGTTTCTAAAGTTCACCATCTCTCCATTTAAGTACAAAAAAATTGAATTGATTGACAGGAAATAAATATGACGTTCATACCTTTGTGCTAATCCTATTAATGCATGAAGAGCACAATGTAATACTAATAGTTCATTGGCTGATAATAACTGTACTAATGCCTGAAATAAAATGAATAACTACTATACAAAATATTCAAATTATTGAACCAACATTAATATATTCTTCAAATAAATGCTAGAAATGTCTAATGAATAAATGGTTAAACATGTGATCAGTTCCAGACACTGTACGAATGTGGATATATTAAGTATATTTGTATATTTACCACATGAGCCTTTGATTGGACTAAACATTCTCTTTGTTCTACAACTACTGATAACTTCTGAAAGATATCTGAAACATAATAACAATATGGTGAGACATAATGGTGAGACAATATGGTGAGACAATATGGTGGAATAAAATGGTGAAACAATATGGTGGTGAGAATATGGTGAGACAATATAGTATGAAATAATGCAAGACATAAGGGTGAGACAGAAATGGGGATACATAACGGTAAGAGAAAATGGTGAGATCGAATCAAGAGAGAATGGTGAGACCAAATCATGAGATAAAATGGTGAGACATGATGATGGGAGAAAATTATGAGACATATATGTTATGGTAAGAAAAATAGGTGAAACGAAAGGTGGACTATATTGGACAAAAGGGTGAAATAAAATTGTGAAACATAATGGTGGGATGAATTTTACAATATCAACAGAACTATGGGACATAATGATAAAGAATAAAATAAAGACTTACTTGTCATTTCTTTAAGTATATCTATAACATATTGACCGACACCATCAGTTAAATATACTTCTGTTACTCGCTGAAAATACTGTAATAAAGAAAGATTTTATCCCTTTTAATTTCTACATTTGTTTTCTTTCAGGATATAAAATGGGGGGTGGGGTGTCTATAGGCTTCTGCCTGTTCTCTAATCCAGTTTCTGTGAATAGATATTTTTTAAAAAATAAAAAGGATATAATACTTGTAGTATCTCTCAGGAATAGAAATGGGTACAGCTTGAAACATCTAACCTCAGTCCTGTTAACTCACTCAGTGATTCTTGGATATATTTGTACATGTACTTACATCTGACAAGTATTTCACTCCATCCAGTTCGAAAAATATTGTTTGGAAGGAACAATCTCTCATCATTATACGTAAACATATTAATACCCGTAATACAGTTTCCTGTGGAGCACTGTTCAACCAATCACTAGAAAGAAAGCAAAGACTTTATAAGTATATACATGGAATCTCTAGGCCTGTGATTTCAATGGCATGAATCCAGACACAAATTTGCTTATAAAACCATATTTTTTTACCTAAAAGATAGTTAGTTTTACACTGTTTGAGAATGCATATTAAAAGGAAAATGTGAATAAATCTGAAAGTCGTCTTCAACACATACATGTACATATATAAAAGAGAAAAATAAAGGTTTCTTCTTTAAGACACTTGATGTCTATGGTTATCACGAGACACATTGTGTATGGTTCTAAGATCAATAACTGCATGTAATGGGGTCATTCCTGGTTTCACAAATGATAATAAACCCCCAATGACTTTATAAACGAGAGCGATTTTCAATTTTTTAAGGGGAGGGGAAAAAAACTCCCCTCGATCGACATTCAGGTGAGTGGCAGGTGCTCGAGAATGATCGCTCGCCTTAAAAAATAATGACTGCAATAAGTCACTGTGGCTCCCTGTTTACAAATAAACAGAAACAATATGATGGTGTTACACTCACCTGCAGCATAATTTATGTTTAGTTAAAGCTGTGAATATACGTTGTAATATCTCAAGATGTTTGTGATTTGAAAAATTTCTTTCATTCTGATATCGTAGACTGAAAACATACAAACAATAAACTAAAACCATATTAAACACAAATCACTGAACAAAGATTTCATATATAGATAAGTGAGAGGGAGATCTAAAAATGAAGTTTAAAATTCACTCAATATAAACTAAGTCATTTCAGGACTTAACATGATACATTTTTATTTCAATAATCAACTTGGTCATTATTTAGCGTTTGGAGCAAACCTCTGGACCTTGAGAGAACCCACGAAGTTAAGCAGGCATCCTTGCTCCTTGGATGGAAACTGTGCCACTCAATGACAGATCTCATGCGTTAGACTGCATTTCCATGCATGCAGACACATAATTACAGACCCAACACATCAAGTAGACGCTTACTGCTGGCCCCCCAAGATCTGTTCACTTGATTTGATATTTGTTGTTTATTTCTTACAATGTCCGTGTAGTTTGTCTTGTCCAAGGGTTTGTCTTATCGGTTTTGTTTTGCATGTAGTGAGGTTCTCCTGCACTTACTATAAATCTTTAATAGTAAAAGGTAATGTTTATCGTTACCTGAATTTATGGAGTGCTACAGCTTGTGATGTCTGCTGGTCTGATTCTGATCTAGAACGAATACCCTGACCTTCATCCTGTTGTGTTGTGGCACCGTTACCATGAACTATAGCTGGAAGCTGTAACATTATATAAATACTTTTCTACATTTCAAATAATCCAACATTAAAAGGATATTAGTAATGTTTTTAAACTTTTTAACAAATCGGTTGAATTTTAAGTCTGGGCTTTTAGATGAGAATTATATTAAAGTAAAGTACTGTAGTGTCATTTGCATTTTTTGCTAAAATATCAAATTTCTCATGGCTTAGATCGCATAAATTTCAATTCAACATAACTTTGTAAATACTGAACTGCAATGAACTATTTCACAATATTGTAGTTTACAGTTTACAAGAGCTTTCTACTGCTTAAACTGATGCATCAAGACTTTAATAGAATGTATAATAATTAGTCTACCTGTTGTCTACTAGGAGTAGTTGTTAATAACTTCAACAAACGATCTAATTCCTTTAGCTCTCTGAAAAAGAAAGTTTATCCAAATGATGATAATAAATGATTATCCTCATAACAGACTTCAGTGATACAATTAGCGATTGAGTCAAGTATATGTGTTGTACTGTAATTTTAGAAAATAATGTGCACATCCTTCTGGCTAGAATCCAATATCATTTTGTAATTCCATGTTGCAATATCAAAAGCTATTGATCTCGATCAGTTGGGAGGGGATAATTATTAAATTACTTATACTAATATTAAAAGGGGTTATGGGGACACAGCTGCCAGAGAGTTTGGCGTTAAAATTACCTGATTTGGGTCTAATATAAAATTGTTCATTTCACTGAATTTTATTTGCCTTGTGGGATGACAATATCTATGAATATTTGATGTCTATAGTGTTGAGATATAAATAATTTTGTTTTCCACTCAACTGAAGTTAGTAAACAAACTGAATTCCTTTTGAAACAAAATTTAGTTGCACAGAGTTTGACTTATCAATAATCAAAATAAAACATTATTTCAACCCAATCAAATACTTTAAATTGACATAAATCTACCACAAAACAGCTTTATTGGTACCGGTATACCCATAAATGAAAAATACCCCATTGACAGTGTCCTTCCATCTCTCCAATGGTCATTGCAAATCAGAAGCTTCAAAGATACTATCAAGATCTTAAAATGTACATGTATATAGAAAAAGATGATAGCCGATCAATATTAGTATCACGTACATGTAGATAGATATACATGCATAATATCACGCCCATTTAGAAATGAGATATAAAAATTCAAATAATGAGAATGAGTGATATAGATTAGATAAGACTGTTATGTACAAGGTAATGATAGACAGGCAAAATCTGTGTAATCAACACTTCTAACAGAATTGTTGACATAAACTACAGGTGGTAGGTGTGGTCTATTACACCACTTTATATAATATTATCAATCAGAATAGTTTGAAGGATGCTAATCTTATCTATTGTTACATCCGCATCACTTAACCTACATGTACCCTAACTTTTATATTTACTTTTAAAACAGTCACATCACTACAAACCGGATTCGTATACTAAGAACCTGACTGTTAGACTCTCACGACAAGAAAGTAACCAAATTTGAATTTACCAGTAAAACCAAAGCTTGCCTAGATTTACAAAAAATAACCGAGATATGGGCGATCTCTAATCTTTTTTTGCTACATACACATGTATGTAAAACACTACGAGATTTTCAGTTACACAATTCATAATCAATTGGTACATTTAGATTGATACATGTTGATGATTTTGATGATTTCTATGATGGCAGAATGTACAGATTTAGCTTTTAATTTTGACCAGATTCCCTCACCTTGCGCACCCAAAAAAGAAAGAAAAAAATAGCAGAAACTGACTGGTTTAAATATGTGATGCAGCAAAACCTGTAAAAAATCCTAATTAAATCAGCAGAATAAATATAAATTGGGAGATAGTTCTACTTACTTAACGGAATCAGATCGCTTAATTGGTTTGCCAGTCTGGTCGGATGATTTAGTCTTACGTTCGGTAGCTGGCATTATAAATATCTTTCTTTAAGATGGACGGAAAGATGAAAAAGGGCTGGTTGGTTATTTTTACTTTGTCTTCTCACATTTTTGTTTATTTGAATACTGTCTTACATTTTTAGTTCTTTAGGTTCAGCAAGCCCTAGTTAAATATTTCTGAAAAAAAAACCAAAACATATTAGTGCATGTTTGAATAGAATTTTTATTAATTTCATTATATCGTGAGTTCTTACCTATGCATTTGAACTTGGCCCGCATATTAATTTCATTTCATAAGGGGGATCCCGTGGCTAAGTGGGTAAGACCCTGGATCGCTAGCCTAGAGGTCGGGTGTTCGTTCCCTGCATTGGCCTAGAAAGTTCATACAGATTTTCCGGCGTGGTTTCCCCCCTTGTCAGTGATGCAGTATGGAGGACCTGACAAGGACAGCTGTCTAGTCGTTCGGATGGGACGAAAAACTGAGGTCCCGTGAACACACTGGCGTGCACGTTAAAGATCCCTTGGCAGTTGGAATTCGATATAAGAGAAGGCCGTAGCACCGCTGCCTGGGCAAAATTTCCCTCATAGCACACTGTATGGCGTATGCCCGACTTCATTAGCCCACGTTAGGAGCAGAACAGTAGGACGTTAAACCCCATTTCATTTCATTTCGTAACACATTTAAGTTGAGTCATAGTTCTTAATAAGATATGTTCCATGTAGTGCTTATCTAATTAAAACTGTTTAGTTCAGAGAATGATATGTTTTCATACAAATGCATTGTCTCATATTCCATGTTAAAATGCTTTAGTTGTCAGTTGGATTGAATCGATAATAGTGGTAAACTCAAAAATAAAAGAGCTAATTTACGTGTTTCTGTCTATATTTCCTCACGATCTAAAATCTATCATTATTTCAATCTTCCATCTAATGTCAATTCTGGTTGTGATAGACAAAATTATACTTGTCTTCCATGTCTTGTTATGACTATTTTAATGTTGTTTTTTTAGTACCAATTTAACAGAAAATAATGTATTTAGAACACAATGCTTTCAGATAGTTAATACGATTAAAATCAATGGGAATAATAATTGCAATATTTCATGATTTACACACTATTGGGCAAATCATGCTACCATTTCATATACACAAGGTAAATTCCTGCCTAATCAACACTATTTTTGGTTATTTTAATATTCCGCTATGACACGTAATCTTAAGACATATATTATCAATTGAAATACAGTAAAATGTCTTAAATACTATTGGTATATTTGGTATATCCAATACATGTTTAGACTATTGGTGGGGCTGGGAACGGGCCAAAATTAAATTTGCACATTTAAAATCTACGAATTAGTTATTTAAAATATTCTGATGACAAAAATAAATAATAATATCTGGAGTTTGTTCTATTATTGGAGCCAAATTTTAATTTAGCATTGGTCAATATACAGTACATTTGCATGCATGTATGAAGCCATATTTAACGTTTTGTACACGAACTGAAAAGTACCGTTATAAATGTGCTTACCGTTAGAAATGAGAAAACATATCAAATTCAATCATATTTTGATATAAATGATTACCGGTCTATAATAGTATCAAAGGAAGACATGATTTAGAAACCAAAGATCTAGAAATCTTCTTAAAATCGATAATCATTTTATGACCCAGGCCTAAAATCATTGCCAATGACTTCTGCTGACAGGGAAACACGGCAAGAATCTATTGATATTGCACGAAGAAATGACATGTCGTTTCCATTCAGCACATCACAGCGATCAATATAAATGTATGCAGATTAATAGCTAAACTCACCGATTTAATTCAGAAACAATGTAAAAAACTAAATTGACCATATATAGTACATAACTCGTAATATTTCTCCATTTGTCACAAAAGATAAACAAAATACCATACCTGTTCAACCTTGCATTTTCCACGAACAGACACAGCAGGTAAAATGACCCCTGATTGGTGATCTGATTGTCAGTTAACCAATCACAAGACGTTACACAAAGCTATTCCATTGTTAGCTGTCGAGGGTCTGAATAATCAGGTGCGTTGGACTTGACATAACTAGGTTAATTATTCTAGTTCCGTTAATTAGATAAGGATAATTGATTTTTAATTAGGTAGCGTGTTTTCTTTCCCCAATTGCTAGAGACAATAAATTAATGAATTAACGAAAATAAACAAACGGGATTTAAAATAACATTAATTAATGATAAACAATAACAGCTTTTCTTTCATTGTCATTATGTTGAAAAGACTCACAAAAAAAAAAAAAAAAAAAAAAATTCTTTGTTCATTTTTGCCTTTAAAAAGTGTACCACCTAGCTAAATATCGAGTCAGAAATGGGCATTCGCCCCGCGCTAATCAAGTTCTAAATATTAATAAAAAACAAAAACATTGCTGGTCTGCATTATGTATTCGTTAAAATTATATCAAAATATAATATTCTTTTATGCTTTATGTATTCGTGAAAATTATATTAGAATATAATATTCTTCTAAATTATGCGCAACATTAGTCACTGCATTTTTTCTTTCCGAATGACTTGAATTTTCTTGTGGGTGTGGGGGATCCGTAGACTCACCCACCCCACTCCAAACTCAAGTTTATGCTCGGGCGGTTCGATGGCCGAATGGTTGGCACGTGTGCACCGAATCATAAGGTCTGTCATTGAGTCAACTGGCGTGGTTTCGAATCCTCGGTTGTACGTGACAAGGAGTAGGGTCGCCCGTCTAACCCCGTGGATTTTCTCCGGGTCCCTACCACTGATAAAGACCCCTACGCGCAAGCGAATTATTGAACCATGTGTTAGATGTGTTAGTCCTAGTTTGTGACGTTAAACCCCGTTTCTCTCTCTCTTTCTCTCTCTCCAAGTTTATACTTCTTTGGTGTATAATAATTAATATGATGTATATGTCTATCCGTGTGCGCTAGGTCTGTCATTGAGCCAACTGGCGTGGTTTCGATTCCTCGGTTTTACGTGGGCTGTCCAACTTCGTGGGTTTTCTCCGGTTTCCTCCCTCTGCTAAAGACCCCGACGCGCAAGCGAATTATTGAAATAAAATTGAACCATATGTTAATCCCGAAATGACGAGTGGACGTTAACCCCCCCCCTCTCTCTCTCTCTCTCTCTCTCCCAAATGTATAGTAAATGACCTATGAACTTTCACTTTCAGAAAAAAAACATTCATTACTGATATACACTCCCCATTTTCGACCTTTTAAAATTTTCTTGCAAAATGTAACAGTATTGAAACTGAGTGGGTGAGTCACACTAGAGGTCTTTACACATCACATGGGTCATATTATAATGCTAAAACATCTTTAAATTTTGATCGTAGAAATTTTCATTATATTATGTATTATTTGCGACTTTAGAATGGCATGAATAAACAAATAAAGTAATTTTCATGACAAAAAAATAATATATATATATCAATCTAATATACCCAACCGTAGCCTGTGTTGTAAATCACCCCTGTTACTATTAGTAATTTGAATTGTAAAATACTGTAATTACTACGATTAAAGCATTTATGTACAGGCAATCTGCACCATAAACTGTATTTACCCAACAGTACCTATATAATTTATGCATATCCAGAGTTTGTACCGCCCGGGTCTATCATACCCCTAGCAGTGTTTCGTTTGATTAGACCTAATCCCACTCAAAAAAGGGATTTCTCGGGCCATTGCTTCAGGAATATGGGGTCAATGGTCATTGAGTTTGTCGTCACCCCATCTCAACTAAAGACACAACAGATACATCAAGCAAATTAAATTTTGCTCTAACGTCTTATATCTTGCTGCCCGTACAGTTGCCCTCAACCCTGTTCAACTACGCGACTGTATGCGTTGCCCCCCCCCCCCCCCTTGACTTTCAAGAAGTTTCTGATTTTGATCGCACCTAAGTAAAGTATTTTCCAATTGTGTAATAATATTGGTTCGCGATAATACCCTTACAAACTAGATTTTTCACAGGAAAGAGGAATTTGGAGGCCCCTAAACTGTATTATTTAACTAAGTACTCTAAACTCTTGATCGGGTCAGTCAGGTGGCCTCGGGTGCAATATATTAACAATAAATGGTGATTTGGAGTAGCGCTTAATTGATTTTTATTTACTTATCTTTTATCGCACAATGCCCTTATCTATTGGATCGTGTTAGAATATTTGGGACAAAAGGATGGGTGTTAGGACATGTTTCAGCATGACCGTCCTTTTAATAACCACACGTCGTATGCAATATTGTCTGCAAACAACCTGAGCGACACTTCGAATTACTGAATAAAACCCAATAACTATCCAATAACACCCAATAACACGCTCACTCGCGTGAAGGGAGATAACTCGTCTATGTGATTTGTGTAGATAAGATAAGATTTTTATTCTATCTAAACACCCCATAACCTGCCAGAATTGGAAAAAATGACGTCCCGGTAGGAAATAGGGCAATTATAATTTATAACCTCTCATTCCAGACTTCAACAAAAACAATTATTGGTAATGTTATGGAGAATGTCGTATTCTGAATATGCTAATATATGTGATTACCACAAAAAATAACGACAAATATATGGGCATTCTATAGCTTTCTGTAGAATTTAGATAAAGTAATACTATAGTATACTGCAGTATAATCTAGGAAAAATATTCTATTCTACAGATTTTATAATTTCGAGATCTTGTATTAATAGTATAGCTCACTATAGAATTTAGTGATGCACTATATAGATTATACAGATTACAGCAAACTAATTCACTTGTACCGGTATACCAAATGACCGGTACACATGACAGACTATAATAAGTTTACCATGAATAAAAAATAGAGTTTGTTTATGAATGATATTGGAAAATACTTCACCCCGCCCTTCAAAACAAATGTCAGTCTTTGTAGAGCTTTAAAGCAAAAGTAATCGCTAATACTTATTCTTTAAAAAAAAGAAGCCAATTAGGTCTATTATAGTCATAGAAATCAGGACCAGTTATATTACTAAAGTTTATTATGAATACAGCCTGCTTGGTAGGTATCTTGCTAGTTAGATTTTAATGACTATAGCAGATTATGTACTCAAATGATATAATATTTAATAATCATAACGTGGAGGTCATCAAGCCAACCGTGAAAACCTGCCAGTAAGTCACCCTTAACAACCAATTTATATAGTCTCTTGAAGTCTTTGGGTCATTGGCTGAATTTTAAATTCCAAAATGCAGAAGTATGTGTATAGCTACTAGACGTTAGTACTATAGCAAGAAATTGGCGAAAGTGCACATGGTTCACATCTCTGTAGGATCTGCAGATCTTGAATCAGAACATCTAATGATGAAATATCGGATTCCGATTCCGATTCCAATTTAGACATAAAAAGTTACAAAGAGTCAAGTTTGTTGGTATAGGTATGTTAGAACAACTCTGACAGAGATATGCTTTTGTCTGGTGCCTTTTTTTAAAAAAAAAAAACTGTAAAATTCCAACCATTTTCATTTATGATCAGTATGATCAGGATGTTGAAGCAGATTTTGCCTGCATGTTTTAAGACGTGACAACTCGCATTAAAAGAATTGTTTGGGGGAGGTTATAGTTTGTCGGAGCTGCTTTGATAAAACTGCACTGGTCAAGGTGTGGAATGAAAACCCACATGCCGATCGAGACGTTTATGCGATAATCTATGGTGGCTGATAGTGGCCATGTTAAATCTCGCCCATTTCATAGCGCGACAACACGACATCACGACAGTATTGACGCAATCATACGACACTTAACTCTGTCGTATCATCGTGTTATTTTTATCGTAACGTCGAGATGTCGACTTATTGTCCTAGTCTCTTTCTACAAGTCACAAAAATACAGCTGTACTCATTACATCAGATACATATAAATAGATACATATAAATAAGACTCGTCAAAAGAGATAATAGGAAAACGTTGATTCGTTTTCTAAAAAAAAATGAAACTTTTTGCGCCCAAAATTGAATTATATTTGGTATTATATTCAAAAAATCTAGAATTATAATAGCAGGACAAAATTGAGTCAGCTATGTTAATTCCTTGAATAAGAAGTGGTGTCGGTAGGTATCGAACAAGTATGCATTGCCTCGTGTACGACACCCACCAATACTTATAGATTACTGAAGCGATAGTTTAGAAGCGATTTCAGAAGATTTCCAATTTATTTTATTAGAGTGGGAAGGGGATTATATAAAACCTCAAATCAGACCACATAAAATCACCGCTTGGTGTAGCACGCCATCCTAATAAGTGCAGGGGAGGTTTTTTATGAGGTGAGGAAAGCGATTTGCAGCTGTTATTGACCTTATCTCATTTTCATCCGTTTGGCATCACTAATGGGATCGGGGCCTAGATGATTAAAAATAGGCCCAGTATTGCCTTCAGCTATGAACACACTCCGAAAGTCCTCTACGCACCCCCCCCCCCTCTTATTTTGTTTAACAAATAATTTCGGAATCAATAAAATGGTAGGTCCCTATCAATGATGTTTGATACGACTGGAAATTAATGTGTCTAAAATTGATTAAACAACATAGGGTAGTAAATATTACATTTTGAATCCGTATCAATGATACATTTACTCAAAATGGATCACCATTTAACTTGAAAACAAGGGAAGCAGCCGATCGAAGAAAAAAAGATTTTAAAAAACAAGTTTCAATATGATAGTAGTGGTTCGGTCATGCATTTACATCTGTGGGTGTCATCCTTTCTTTGAAAGTAATGATTGTGCCAGATTTGAACAAAGTCCATCTAGATTCGCGGCCAGTAGGTAAAGTGTTGACAGATAAAACGTAAAAAAAAAACCAGACCTATAAAAATATATTTTCTAAAACTATTTTAATTTTGAAATTATATTATTTTCACATGTGCTAAGTGTTTTAGTGAATAGTTATAGAAAGGGTCTTGTAGATTAA